TCTAAATCTGAATTAGTAAAAATGTTTACTAATTTGAATTAGTGACTCACTTTTTGCTTCTGAATTAGTTAAATTTTACTAATAATTAGTAAAATTTTACGAATTAAGTTCTAATTAGTTCTACTAGTTAAGTTCTACTAATTAAGACTAATTAAGTTAAATTTTACTAATAATTAGTAAAATTTTACTAATTAAGTTCTATTTAATTCTACTAGTTAAGTTCTACTAATTAAGACTAATAAAGTTAAATTTTACTAATAATTAGTAAAATTTTACTAATTTAGAAGCAAAAAGTGAGTCACTAATTCAAATTAGTAAACATTTTTACTAATTCAGATTTAGAGAGTAACTAAATTAGTTACTAAATTACTAAAAGTTACTAAATTAGTAAAATTTTACTAATTATTAGTAAAATTTAACTAATTCAGAAGCAATAAGTGAGTCACTAATTCAAATTAGTAAACATTTTTACTAATTCAGATTTAGAGAGTAAGTATACCAATAAATTACAAAATTGCCAGTACTCGGCCAGTACTGAACCAGTAGTGGTTACCAGTACTGGTGCCAACTCTGGTAGCCAATACTGGTAAAATGTTATCATCCCTAAGTTACGCCAACTCTGACGCCAATACTGGGTGCCAGTACTACGCCAGTAGTAAATTTTTGTTTGGGATATTTTAGACGAATTTTTTATTTTTCGAATTAGAATTTGAAAGAATTTGATTTTTATAAACGAATTTTTACATAACAGAATTGCTTATGTACACACAGAGAAAAGATAAACATTTATTTGAATTAAATAAAAAATTTCTTTCAAACGAATATAATTTTTTTTTTTTTGAATCAAAGATAATTTGTTTGAAACAAATAAATTTTCTTTGTATCAAAGAAAAATTTGTCAAGGAAATTGATTTTCTTGAATCCAAAGAAATCTGTTTTCTATATGATAATGTATTGAATTTTTACTGTATACCAGAATTCTTAAAACGTCGAATTTTTATTTGTCCGAAATTGCAAATGTCCGAACAATAATGCAATTTACAGAAAGGAATTTGGCGCGATTTTTAAAATTGACCAATCACGATTGTTTCTTGATAATTTATAATTGGTAAATTTTAAAAATCGCGCCAAAATCCTTTCTGTTTGCATTTGTTTGGCCATTTGCAATTTCGGATAAATATTCGATTTTTTTTTTATTAAGAATTTTGTACAATTAAAATTCGGTACATAAGAATTTTATTAAGTAAAAATTCATTTAAACAGGAAATTCTGTGGCAAATTCTAATTAGAAAAATCAAAAAACTATATTTTATAAAATTCTTTAAAATTAAAATTCTAACTATAACGATTTTTATGGAATAATCATGGGCCCTATACCCAGAGAATTTAATTGGCGTAAATAAAAATTCTATTTGTCATAAATAAAATTTTTATTTAAATCAAAAATATTTATTTCTCTCTAAAATTATATTTGTATCTGGGGTGTAAAATTTAATTTGTCATTCTTAAAAATTTTCTTCTAATCTCAAAAACTAATTTGGCCCTCTTAAATGTCATTTTACGATCTCTATTAAATTCTCCTTACGTGTGGAATAACTTTTCAATGAAAAAAAAAAAAAAAAAACAAAATTAAAGCCTCTATTCTGAAAAGTAATTGACTCTGGTGAGATAATTAAAAGTCTCCGGCGTTGGTTTGTCGATGGCTACGGTTTTTGGGAGTTTGTAAAAGGTCTCGCAAAACAATTTCTGATTGAAAATGACAAAAAAAAGTTTAAGTCCTTATTCCCAATACAGTGGAATAACAGAGACGTCACTTTTTACCAATTGGTATTGAATTCGAACTTGCGGTTTCGATCTCTCTCTCTCTGATCGTTCTCAAACTTTTTTTTACTGAATTGGAATTAGAGGACAAAAATAGCTCACGAACAGTGAATCCAAACTTTCTAGGAAATCATTGAAAAAAAAACACCAATCTATTTTCTATTTAAAATTGTGAAAAAAAATTATTTCTTTTTTTAAAAAAATCGTATTATTAACGATTAATTATTGTAATTATCCATCGAGAATGATAATTGACAATTAAGAGTGAGTCTTATTTTTTTTTTTTGTACTGGAAATTGATTAAGAGAAACAAGAAAAAGAGAATGATTAGCATCGATGTTGCAAACGACTTTATGAATTCAGTTTCGTCGTCGTCTTGAATCGGATCTTATCTAAGGCTTCGGAAATCGTACAGGATTCGAATAATTTGAACCACCGATGGGGCTTCGGGGAGACTCTCTTCTCCTTTCTTTTTTTTGTGCCCTCCCCCCCTTTCTCTCTCTCTCTCTCACTCCTTTGCCCTGATGTCGAGTACCACCCAGACGTCTCTCACGACTTTAATTTTACTTTGAATGATTTTATTTGAATTTAATTATTTTACTCATTTTACAATTCTCAGCGACTGTCATTCATTCTCATCAAATTTAAAAAAAAATAAATCAGTAATTGATATTTTACTAATTTAATCAGTAAATTTCTACTAATTGTCAGTTGCTTAATTTTCGCTATGACAATTAGTAGATTTCTCATGCTAATCAGTAAAATATGACTGATTCAGATTTAGAGAGTAGGAAATATTTCCGGACAATGTCAATTAGTCTTTTAAAATATAACCCAGGTGAAAAAATTAACGTTACTAACGTTACTAATGTTACTAACGTTACTAATGTTACTAACGTTACTAATGTTACTAAAGTTAGTACCTATAAAAAAATTAAGAGTTTCTAAAATATATTTTCACAGAAACTTTGCACTACTTTCCCATTACCACTTTCACTTCCACTTAAACTTTTTATAATTTTCATTCCCATTTCCACTTATACTTTTTCTAATTCTCATTCTCACTTCTACTCTTTCTAATTCTCATTCCCACTTCACTTCCACTTTTTCTAATTTTCATTCCCATTCCTATTTCCACTTCCAGTTTTTTTATATTCATTGCCACTACCACTTTTTCTAATTCTCATTCTCACTTTCACTTCCACTTCCACTTGTTCCAATTTTCATACCCATTTTCACTTCCACTTTTTCTAATTTTCATTCCCATTCCTATTTCCACTTCCAGTTTTTTATATTCATTGCCACTACCACTGTTTCTAATTCTCATTCCCACTTTTACTTCCACTTCTACTCTTTCTAATTCTCATTCCCACTTCACTTCCACTTTTTCTAATTTTCATTCCCATTCCTATTTCCACTTCCAGTTTTTTTATATTCATTGCCACTACCACTTTTTCTAATTCTCATTCCCACTTTCACATTTCACTTTCACTTTCCCACAATGGAAGTGCGAATGAGAATTAGAAAATTAGAATTTTAATTCTCTTTCCCACTTTCCCATTTCACTTTCACTTTCCCACAATGGAAGTGCGAATGAGAATTAGGAAATTAGAATTCTAATTTTCATTCCCACTTTCACATTTCACTTTCACTTTCCCACAATGGAAGTGCGAATGAGAATTAGAAGAAGTGGAAGTGGTAATGTAAATAAAAAAGTGAAAGTGAAAATGGGCATGAAATTTATAAAAAGTGGAAGTGAAAATGGGAATGAAAATTAGAAAAAGTGGAAGTGGAAACGGTAATGAAAATAAAAAAGTAAAAGTGATAATAGGAATAAAAATGATAAAAAGTGCGGGTAAGAACATTAAATACTCCCTGGTGGTCGATTTTCGACAAGTTTCTGCAAAAATACAATTTAGAAACATTTTCTTAATTTTTTTATAGGTACTAACGTTAGTAACATTAGTAACGTTAGTAATATTAGTAACGTTAGTAATGTTAATTTTTCTACCTGGGAAATTTTAATAATTAAATTTTATTTATTAATCCCGACGATCGACTCAACGGAAGTCGTTTGAAATTATATTCGATGCAGCCATTGTACTTGCTTCAAGGAAGGTCACTGCTCCCCGATGCATATGTTCGCTTAATTTCCCAAGTTCTATATTTATTATTATTAAATTAATTTAGAATAATTTATTGTTAATAAGTAGCGTTAAAAAAAAGAGTTAAACATTTTTTAAATACCTAAAATATTTAAAAAATAATAATTTTATTAAATTATAAAATTAAAATTATTATTTTTTTTCAGTTTCATACTATTATCTATGTTAAATAGTAAATAAGAATAATTATTGTAATAAAACAATCAAATAAAGTTGTTTGTATAATAAAAAAAATATTGTAAAAGCACTATCATTTTAAGTATTATGGATTTGCATAAAATATGCAAAGAATAAATGTTATAAATTATGTGATTTATTGATGAAAAACATTAAGGAAAAGAAGAAACATAAAAGCTGTATATTTTTTTTCTGTAAATTACAACGCAATATTTTTCGTTAAATCTCCATTGTTGCTTATAAATAACGATCGGGTAACGGAATTTATATAATATATATTGTAAATTTTTTGCGTTTTTTTTTAAATAGGATATTAACAGATAAATCGCTATTTATGGAATCGTTAAACGACTCTTGCACATTTTTCAATTAGAGATCTCTATTAAATGAACTCGAGGTCACTTAATATGCGACATATACCAATCGCCACTGTTCCTATATATATATAAACATTTTATCTCAATTTTTATAATCATTAAATCATTTATGAAGAAAATTTTCTCGAAATTTTTTTAGAAGAGAAAAAAATGTGAGCCTAATAAAAAAATTCCACACTTTATTGGATAAAGGAGACAATAAAAAATTGACACTTGTCAGTTGTCTCTCGATAAAAATACTTTTTTTTTTTCTCTCGTAAGATTTCAATTAAACAAAACGAGGTCATACTTTGCACGCGACGATCATTCGTTTTTTTGCGTATACAAGACCCTCTCTTTTAAAATTTTTTTAATGATTAACAAATTCCAGGCGTATAATTTTTTTTTTTCTCTTTTAATAGGATATTGTCTTTTCTCGCGCAGTGATATTGCATTGTTAATTATAATATTTTTATTTCAGGTTCCACCGACAATAGCAAACTTGGCAGCAATGAAAGTGGATGCAGCTGATCCAAAGGTTTCCGGTGAGTTAAATATTTCCTTCTTTCTGATAAAATAGAATGTAGAGAAAAAAAAAAATCTCTAATGACATTTAAATAAGCAACTTCTGCATTTTCGTGACTACTGATGAGAGTAACAATCAGCAAAAATTATTCAAAGAATTTCTATTTACAAGTGTCAATTATTATTTAAATTGGTTTTCAAATATTGTCATTTGCGAAAAATGTTTTTTATTTCCGAGAATAAGAAAAAATTGATTTTTTTTTCTTTCTTTTGGTGCCAATTTGTTTTTTTTTTTTTTTTTTAAATGATTTTTTTTTATACTCGCGACTATAAAGTTCTCTGCAATAAACTGTATAATCTGTCGAATCAAGTTGTCCCAGCTTTCAACGTTTCGGTCCAGGGGCTCTTCCCCCTTTATTGGAATATCCGCCCACAGCATTATGGGAATTATCAAGGAAATAGGATGAGTGTTCCTATATATATATATACTCAAAAAGGGTGCAAATCTTTTTTTCCCCCTAATTTCTATATCGGCAACAATTTTTTGAACATTATTTAGCGAAAAAGCATATTTTCAATTATAATAATTATTTTTATTAATAATTATTAATTATTAATTTAATTATTTCCAAAAATTATCGTACCATAAATATTTAAAATCTCATTATAATAGAACAAGTTAAAACAAAAGTTCATATATATAAAGAAATGTGTCCAATAATGCAGATTGAAAGAAACCAAAATCATTAATCAACATAACCGGTCCTAATTCAAGGTTCCGGTCCATTTTAAAAAGCCATTCCTTCTTTTTTCTCATACCACGCCACCAATTCGCAAATATTTCCCATTCGCCAATTACAAAACGTTTTTCATTTTTTTTTTTTTGCAACTAAATTATTAACTCTGAATCGTATAACAGAATGCAATAAATATTATTCTCTTTTTCTCATTCGAGATTCTTGAAACTGTTTAAGGGAACGAATCCCTTCTCCCCCCCCTCGACCCCCCCTAAAACCCTTCGATATATATCGCGAGGAATGAAAAGATGAAAGAAGTCGATCGTGATCACGACGATTCATATTGGAAGAGAGAGGGGGGGAAGATATCGTGGGGGCGGAGAAATCAAGGGGGGAGGAGGCATATGAGGGGTGGTGGGGGGAAATAAAGAAGGGAAGAGGAGAAGGCCACGTGGTATACGTTTCTCTCTCTCTCTCTCTCTCTCTCTCTCTCTCTCTCTCTCTCTTTCTCTCTCTTTCTCTCAATGGACAAATCTCACGAGTCTTCGAGACATTCCCACAATATTTCGGTCTGTTATATCCAATAAAAGACAAGGACGAATATTCGATATATAGAGAAAGATGCATAAGGGAGTTGATGTATAAAGCAAAATACAATAAAAAAGTACGAAGCGCGCGTCCGTCGCGAGCAGAGAGAGAGAGAGAGAGAGAGAGAGAGAGAGAGAGAGGTAGGGGGGGGAGAAAGAGAGGAGCCAGCAATCAAAGCTGATTAAGCCCACAACTGGGGAATCTGTGGGGCCAGTGTCTCACGCCAATCTCGACCAATCAGCCTGGTGGCCGGGGAGATTTAAAAAATAGAATGCCTACTGTCAATTGTCCCATAATTTAAATAAATCGAATAAATGGACAAAGTGGCCAATTAGAGTAGTTGCTGTTGCTGCTTTAACGTATTATTCTCTTTCTCGGTCTCTTCTCTAAACTCCCTTAACTTTTCGCCTTTCCTTTTACTGTATCTCCATCTTCTTTTATCAACCCCCCTCCTCACCCCCCTCACTCTCTTTCTCTTTCCCCACTTTTATTGTAATTGAAAATCTTCTAGTATTCACTATTTCATAATCTTCTTCTCGTTTGCATGAATTGCTCTTGATTAAAGACTTGTTGGTCTTCCTCTATTTCTATTTATCCCTAAATTGAGTAATATATATATATATACACTGGGGGGAAAAAAAAATTTAATTTAAATAATCAGTAATTTCACTATTTTTTTTTTTTTATTATTTGCTCTCTAAATCTAAATTTTAGGATGAAAATCATGAATTTCAAATCACTTTTTTGAATTAGTGCCACAGAAAATTAAAAGGCATTAAAATATAAGCTGCAACGCTTATTATTTTAATTCAATTTTGCTTATTTTAATCCATTTTGGTATTAAAATAAGCAAAATTGGATTAAAATAATAATAAAAATAATAAAATAATAATAATCCAATTTTGCTTATTTTAATCCATTTTGGTATTAAAATAAGTAAAATTGGATTAAAATAAGCGAAATTGGATTAAAATAATAATAAAATTGGATTAAAATAATAATAAAAATAATAAAATAATAATAATCCAATTTTGCTTATTTTAATCCATTTTGGTATTAAAATAAGCGAAATTGGATTAAAATAATAATAAAATTGGATTAAAATAAGCAAAATTGGATTAAAATAATAATAAAAATAATAAAATAATAATAATCCAATTTTGCTTATTTTAATCCATTTTGGTATTAAAATAAGTAAAATTAGATTAAAATAATAAGCCTTGCAGCTTATTTTAATGCCTTTTAATTTTCTGAGTGTGCAAAAAAAAAATTTTCTTGTCGAATTAGTAAAATTTAACATAATTCAAAAGCAAAAAAATGAGTCACTAATTCAAATTAGTTAACATTTTTACTAATTCTAGAGAGTGAATCTAAATAATATTAGTCAAACGACAGCAAATAATGTATATATATATATGACATTTACGCGGGTCGAATAGCGCAAGTTAATGATTCTCAGAAAGGAACGAGAGTTCTAAATGCTCCTCTTTTATATATATATATATATTTATATTAAAAAATACCGAGATAGATCTGATTCGATGGTAATTATAACAATTGGGCAATTTCCTTTCTCTCTTTTTTATACGCTTTCAGTTTCAATAATAAAAATCATCATCCAAGCCATATATGAAACAAGAATTGAACTCACTTTTCTCGTCCCCTATATATTCATTTTGATTAATCTTTCAAATTTTTAAGTATATATGATTAATATTTATTCAATGTATTTCCATAATTTTTATTAAATAAAAAAAAACACTTTTAGGAAAACTTCTTTACCAAATTAAAATTGAAAATTCCCTAAAAAATTATTCGCAAAAAAAAAAAATGTTACGAAATTACATATATGCGAAAACAAAAATAGAACTTTTATCTCAAATTCGGTATAAAAATTAACTGCAACTTTTATCCTATAGTTGAAGGTACCGCCGTCTATAGTTAAAACTACCCGCAAAACAAAATTTATCCAACTTTTTTTCTGTGATATGAAATTTTCAAAATACACACAAATTTCGTGGAATTATCAAAATTTTTGGGAAAAACTTCTTTGCCTAATAGAAATTAAAAATTTCCTTAGAAATTATCGGCAAAAAAAAAAAATTTTACACTGACAATGAGAGAAAAGATTGGTTGGGTTTACCATTTTTAGTTATAGTAAACAATACTGCTGCTAATTGATTAATTGTGGTTACTATTTTTATTCCTTGGCATAACTATTTTATTACTTATGGTTTAACTAATTAGTTTGTTGGAATAACTATATTTAATTAGTTACCTTATACTGAAAAAAGGATTTGGTATTAACAACCAAACGTTTGGTTGGTATTTAAACCAAAATTTTTTTTGTTGAATCAACAAAATTTTGGTTGTCCCAATCAAATTTTAATTAGGACAACAAAAATCCTTTTTTTCTAATTTTGGTTGTGTCAAACAAATTTCGGTTGTGTCAAATAAATTTTGATTGAGACAATTAAAATTTTGTTGATTCAACAAAAAAATTTTGGTTGCTTAAATATACCAACCAAACGTTTGGTTGTCAATACCAAATCCTTTTTTCAGTGATACTAAATGAAATTTACTAACTAAATTAGGCTTACTAACTAAATGGTAACTGTAACTAATTTAAATTAGCAAAAAAATACTAACGAAATTGTAATCGCAATCAATCGTTTCTCTCACAATCAGTGTAGCGGAAATAGAAAATTTTTGAAATACACAAGTTTCGTAAAATTACCAAAACTTTTTGGTAATAACTTTCTTTTTGCCTAACAAAAAATTGAAATTTTTTTTCTTATCCAAAGTTTTGAAAAAATTCATCCATAAATAATTGAAGTAAAAATACAAAAATTAAAATTACCAAAATTCTTGGACAAAATTACTTTACTGCATATATATATAAAAATTGAAATTTACACAATAGTATAGAAAAATGTACAAACATTTTTTACAATGTATAAGTATAACTCACAGAAGATAAGGAAGCTCATGATAGCAAAGTAAGAGATGGAACAAGGCTGAACAGAGCAGGCAAATAACAAATAAAGCATAAACGGGAGCTACAATAAATAACTGGTGCATATACCGGCAAAGCTGAAAGTAGATATATTCTTCTCTATATCTTTTTGGATATGTATATTTAAGACATATGCGGTTATTTTTCTTCTCTTTCTCTTTCACGCCTCCGCTAGAAATTCTAATAGGTATATGGATAAGACGTAATATACTCAACAAAGAGCTCTAGGGGCTTTAGCTGTTTCTTCTTACAATTTTTCCTTCTTTTTTTTTGCTTTCTTATTTTAACAAGAACAACTATCATATTCTCGATTTATTTATTTCTCAGACAAAATTGCCAAGGGAGTTTGTGTAAAATATAATAGAAGACTTGAGTATAATAATTTACCGCAAATTTAAAAGCAGAAAATTAAATTCAAAAAAATTGTCTTTCTTATGAAGTAAAAATTTATATGATACCTTATTTTAAAAATGATTTTATATTTCTCTTGATTAAATTTACCAAAAGGTGCGAGTGGTAAAAAAATTATTATATATATGGCAAGAAAGATAATTTCATTTGTCTTTTTAATCTTTAAAGTCAACTTTCAGGAAGTTGTTGAAATTTTTATTTGCTTGGTTTTACATGCGATAATAAATTGAATAAATTTACTTTAGAATTATAACTGTAATTTTCCTAATGATAATAGACAAAAAACGTTGAATAAAATTTGTTCACAGAAAATTAAAAGGCATTAAAATAATAAGCGTTGCTGCTTATTTTAATGCCTTTTAATTTTCTGTGCTAGTTTCTGACCAAATAATACTGTTTTTGTACTATTTAGTGGTATAAAACGTACTAGTTTCTGACCAAATAATACTAAAAATTAGTATGGATTTAATTTATTTTCAGTATTATTTGGTCAGAAACTAGTACAGAAAATTAAAAGGCATTAAAATAAGCTTATTATTTTAATCCAATTTTGCTTATTTTAATCCATTTTGGTATTAAAATAAGCAAAATTGGATTAAAATAATAAGCGTTGCAGCTTATTTTAATGCCTTTTAATTTTCTGTGTTGCAATTAATTTTTATACCGATTTTTGGAGTTAAAGTTATTTCTTATTCGTGTTGGTTTTATTCTTTCTTTGAAAATTATACTAAAATCTGTAGTAATTTTTTAGGGTCTAATTATTCTTTTTCGTACAGTTATAATAACACACAGAAAAAACCTGAACTCAAAATGATAGCGTATATGCTACTCATTTTGATATGCAGCAAAAATTGAGTCAGGTTGGTGGCGCCACTGTCTATGTCGTTTATAGCATTGACTCCATTTTTGCTGCATATCAAAATGAGACTAAGTTTTTTTCTGTGAAACAAAATTTTTTAGAATATTACAATTTTCACTAGAATAAATTTTTTTTCTAAAAGAAAATATAATTAAAATGATCGTACATGCGGACACTATTTAATGGTTCATTAGTTGAGAATAACGTCGCTTCTTCTGATGATGCGTCTGTCTGTCTGTCTGTCTGTTCGTTTCAACGTGTACATAGTCTCCTTCCGTTGCTCCTTTTCTCTCTTTTAGATGCAGAGACTGGCAAAGAGAAGTAAAAGGAAAGGAAGAGTGAAAAAGAGAGAGAGAGAGAGAGAAATGAGAAGGAGTGAATAAGAAAGAGAAAGAGTACGTCTCACAGGTGCAGAGATGTAGGTGTAGTATTATATATTCAGGTCCGGTAATGTAACGAGAGCCAAACACTTGCACCGCGGTTTTTATCTCTCTACACACGTTAGGGGAAATATGAGCGATGCATTATTTTTTCGGGTTGACGTATAGTCTTTTTCACTGTTCGCGATCTTGAAACGCAATTTCTTCGTGTTAACACGAGATGCCGTGCTCTAATGCAGTACGTCACGTGGTAAATACTAACGAGAGGAATGAATTATATATACAGGATGCAAAAACACAACCTGATACACTATCGCGCGCGCCAAGTTCAGAAAAAAAACCCCTATGTTCAGACAAATATATCTACTTGTAAAAAAAAATTTTGCACACAGAAGTTTATCTCTATTTCAAAAATTATCAGACAGTTTAGGATTTAGGCGAAATTGTATTTTTTTTACTATTTCCCAAAGGGAAAAAATTTCCAAACAGTTGGATTTATTTTAAAAGTTTAACAGTAAAAATTATATGGAAGGAAATTTTCAATTGGGAAAAATTAATTGTGAATTTTTTACAGTATAAATGAGATTGAGCAACAAAAGTCAACAATTCTACTGACAACTGACGCGAAACGTTATATTACTTTCATATATATAATTTTTGACATCGTAACCCGTGACCTGATATATTGTCCAGTTATATATATTTATACCACCGGTGATTTATTATAAATGACTGCGTAAATTTGTTTTGATTATATGAGAAATTAAACAATGGGGCTTTATAACTAACAATCGTCACTATATAGATTTTTCTTAGTTTGCAATTCGCGTCAAATATATGTAGTAGAATGCGAGTTCATAAACCAGTTATATTGTTGATAGCCTTGGAGAAATAATAGAAAAAGGGTGAAAGGGGTAGAGAGAATTTCATATGCTTCATTTTAATAATATTATAAATTCCATATGACAAAAACCTCCATATCTTTTATATAATTTTACCAAAAATTTATTCTCTCAAAAATAAAGATTTTCTTTAAATTAAAGTGCGATAATTTTTTTCCCATAAAATATGATATTAAAGAAAAAATAAAGAAAATTGCCAACGGCAGTTTTAGTATTTCATTGTTTGTTAACTATTAAAAGTTTGTAGGTCTCATTTTATATTTCAACTGTATATATATATATTAACTCTATAAATAATGGAATGCATTCTTTATTGCTAATATGTCAAAAGTCAAATTGTTATGACAGCTATGATTGTACTACTTCGTTATATACCTTAAGACAATAAATTCCTCTAATTTAATACAAATATAATTATTTTTTCAAATTTACGACATGGAAACTACAAATATAAAAATATAATTTCAAATGAAATGACTTTTTCGCTAAAAAAGAAAAAAATTGTTAAAAAACGAAATTAAAAATTAGAAATACCAGAGACAATTTAGTAAAAAGAGGAATTTTTCGTCAAGGAATTATTACGAGAGCTATAAATCTTTGAATTGTTTCTTGTATGTCAAAAAAGTATATATATATATATAAGAATGAAAGCCGCACCCCTGCTAATCAGGATTGTCCTCGCTTCGGAATTCCACATAATTAACATCCATTTCGCGAATAATAATTACCGGAATCCATTCGTCTTATGGACGTGATTCTCTTTCTTTCTCTTTCTTTCTCTCATAAGAGTCCGCGGTATCGGGAATCGAAGAGTATATAACGCCAAGCCAAGGGTATCCCCCAGACACAATGGCACTCATCGTAAAAAGCATTGGAGCCAACGAAACGCGGTGGATTCGAAATTTTATATTTGGAATTTATTATCGCCCGGGACCGCAACTCCCCTGAAAGAGAGGGGGGGGGCTTCGCACACTGGACCCCAGACTTGAGGCACACGGTGCCGCCGGCCTAATTTATCGTTCCTCAACTTTTTATTAATTTCATCCATTTGGGAATCGACTTCGTATGGCCGATGCTCAACTTCCCTTCCCCCCCTCTCCCCCCATCCCCTTATTTCATGTGTGTATACCCTTATAAACTCCACCCCCTTCTTTATATATATTTCTTTCTTCTTATTCGCAGCAAACATTAAGAAATACACGCATGCAGAATGCATACTCAATCCTTTAACAGAATTGGAATGCTGTTATAATTTTTTATGAGCAACTGAAAAATATATATTTATCGCATCTTCATCTTTTGCGCGTGTAAATATTGATATGATATTTGAATTCAAATGGACCTATTTATTTTCGAAATAAATTCGATATTGGATTTTTGAATTATATATAATTGGTTTTGTCCAATAACTTTCATTTTTTTTTTTCAAAATATGTATTTTATGTATATTAAATGTATTTCATTCACCATTAGGTGAATGAAAAAATTAAATTTGGAGAGTAAATAAATTTGTATTAAGAGCACATTTAGTAAACGCAGAAAACATCTTAAAACAAGACAAATTTTTTGCATAATAGAAATTACAGGCCTCGGATTATACGACTTTTTCGACTATTTCCAACTTTTTTTTTCAAAAATACGACTTTTTTCGACTTATTTTAATAAAATGCGACTATTTCGACTTTTTTTTATACATTTTTTAAAATTTTTTTTAAAAAAAATAAACTATTTTTAGTATAAAATGAAGATCTTCATTTATCTTCTTTATTTCAATTATTTAACAAAAATTCTTCACTAAATTAATTATTTTTAATAATTTTAATGAAATTTATCACAAATTTAATTATTTCAAATTATTTTGTACAATTAAAATTTTTTATAAAATTTAACAATTGTTTATAATTTCAAAAAAATAACAAATAAAATTACCAAAAAAATTTAATTCAAAATCATAAATCAATTCAAAATTAAATAAAATTCAATTATTTTCAAAAATTTCAATTCAAAATCAAAGAAAATTCAATTATTTTCAAAATTTTCAATTCAAAATCTTTTAAAATTCAATTATTTTCCAAATTTTTAATTTAAAATCAGATAAAATTTAATTATTACCCAAAAATTTCAATTCAAAATTAATTATCAAAATTTACAATCAAAAATCAACTAAAATTGAATTATTATCCAAAATTTTAATTATAATTCAATTATTTTCAAAAATTTCAATTCAAAATCAAAGAAAATTCAATTATTTTCAAAATTTTCAATTCAAAATCTTTTAAAATTCAATTATTTTTCAAATTTTCAATTTAAAATCAGATAAAATTTAATTATTACCCAAAATTTCAATTCAAAATTAATTATCAAAATTTTCAATCAAAAAACAAACTAAAATTGAATTATTATCCAAAATTTTAATTATAATTTAATTATTTTCAAAAATTTGAATTTAAAAGCTTCTAAAATTCAATTATTTCTAAAATTTTCCATCGAAAATTTTTTGAAATTTAACAATTTCAATTATAATTCTAAGAAAATTAAATTATTTTTAACTATTTTTATAATATTCTTTGAAAATTCAACTATCTGAAACCATTTTTCAAATTATTGTATTTTTATCCGCAATTTCTAATAAATTTTTGTAGTGAAATCATCAAAAATTTTTAATTAAAAATCACTTGCAGTTTAATTAATTTTAAAAATCTCAATTGTAAATCTTTGAAAATTCAATTACATTTAAAAAATGTTATCTTAAATTATTTGATAAATTATTTTTAGTTTTGTAAAATTTAATTATTGTCTGAAAATTAATAAAATCTTTTAAAATTCAATTATTTCTAAAAAATTTCAACTTTAACTATTCCAAAAGTATTATTATTGTTAAAAAAAAAATTTTATTTAAAAATCTGTAAAATATTTTTGTTAAAATAAAAAAAATTGTCTTTCTCGACTTTTTTTTGGAATATTAATCGACTAAAACGACTTTTTTTGTGCCTTTAAGTCGATCCGAGGCCTGAAATTAATATATTAATTATATCATGCGTTAATAAAAATAAAAAGAACTTACCGATATTGATGATGGATCCTGAATTATAGCTCTGGGGTCCAGGTCCAAAGTGGTATCCGTATGCGCACTGTTTAGCTGAAACAAAAAATAAATTCAATTAACAATTAATTTAATTAATTAAACACTAAATATATATTTTAAATCTGTTTTACCGATTTAGTCCATCAAATCTGTTTTATCAGCAGTCGGTAAAACAGTTTTAAATTTTCAGTGAAATTATTGCGCATTTAATAATCAGTTCACAGAAAATTAAAAGGCATTAAAATAAGCTTATTATTTTAATCCAATTTTGCTTATTTTAATACCAAAATGGATTGAAATAAGCAAAATTGTATTAAAATAATAAGCGCGCTTATTTGCAGCTTATTTTAATGCCTTTTAATTTTCTGTATTAATTCTATATGCTATTAGAACTCGGTAAAACATTTTTTAACAATTAAACATATTTTTTATCAACAGTAGGTAAAACAGTTTTTGAACCAAACATTATCGATTAAATCGATCTAATCTGTTTTATTAGCAGTCGGTAAAACAGTTTTTGAACCAAACATTATCGATTAAATCAATCTAATCTGTTTTATTAGCAGTCGGTAAAACAGTTTTTGAACCAAACATTATCGATTAAATCGATCTAAAATCTGTTTTATTAGCAGTCGGTAAAACAGTTTTAAATTTATGTCAGTGGAATTATTGCGCATTTATAATAATCAGTTGACAGAAAATTAAAAGGCATTAAAATAATAAGCGCGCTTATTTGCAGCTTATTTTAATGCCTTTTAATTTTCTGTGTTAATTCTATATGCTATTAGAACTCGGTAAAACATTTTTTAACAGTTAAACATATTTTTTATCAGCAGTAGGTAAAACAGTTTTTGAATCAAACATTATCGATTAAATCGATCTAAAATCTGTTTTATTAGCAGTCGATAAAATATAGTTTTGACTATCGTTTTCTTAACCGATTTTAATTTTTGGTATCGAAATTCATAAATTGAAAACATCGTTAAATAAAACCTTGTTTCAATTATTATTAACATTGTATTCTTCGTATACAAGCAATTCTATGATTTAATAGTCGATAGCGTGTGACAATTGGTGTTAAGGAACAAATTACAGAAGCTTTTGCGCGCGAATAAATGCACTTAACGCCTACTCTTCTGTTCCTCGACAAACGCAGCAGCTGCTAAAGTGTTTGATAAATCACTCTCCTTTAAACATTTCCGCGTATATACTCAGATTTGTTTCAAGTTTAACACCCTTATATATATATAAAATAAAATATTTTTTATATATATATAAAAAATATTTTTTTCGATATGAGTTGAAAAATTCCAAATTTTGACAACTTCTTATTGTCAATTATCAATTTATAAACTTCAAAGTTTTAATGTTAAAAAAATCTCGATTGCCGCAGTTTCGAGGATAGAGTAAAGATTTGCCAATTGTTTTCGGTTGAGTTCTTTTGTTTTTGGCTGAGACTTTATGCGAGCGTTGACGAATGTCGTCGGAAAAAACGAGTCACTAAGCCAGGAAAAACTGGGGCGTGTATATCCAACGAATGACTGCGATTCGAGGCTTCGAGATCACACAGTGATGAATTCCTTATTTCGAGGACGGCATGCGATTTGCCAATACTTGTTTCCCGATCTAAACCAATCGGGGCCAATCAAATGGGCCAAATAAACCGAGATCAAACTCGTTCATTTGTTTCGTAATTATTATTATTATTTTTCACTTTTTTTTTTTGTTCAATCAATTTTATTTGCCAAATATTTGCTTTATATTTCAAAATGAATTTAAAAGATGAACAAATAAATTTTGCAAACGTATATGAAAAATTGTTAATTTATAACATTTCTGCATGAACTGTACATTTATTTAAATTATATGTAAAAAGTTATTTAAAATAAAATTAAAAGAGGAAGTTAGGTTGGAGGTCAAGGCAAGAGGAAGACCTTTGAAAGGTGAATCAGTTAAACAAAAGGAGTGAAAAAGAATGTGAGATTAAAAACCTCAATCCTTATTTTCGTTCTATTAATTAGTCTCCAACAGTTCGCTCATTAATTTAAGTTTTGTTTTGTCCCCCCTCCCTCTCGTTCGAGGTAAAAAATCCAAGTCTTCGTCAATTAGCACTATATAGCCCTTTTTCCAGTTACTTACCTAAGATTATTCGTGCCTTTTGTATCGATAAAACGCGAGGGCGAAAGATAAAACTCGCGAGAACAACCAATCAGGACAAAAGCTAGAACTAATGAACGTCGGGTTAATTATATATTCCGATATATAATTCCTATTCCTTCCAAGTCAAAGAACCTTTTTTTTTTTAAATTATACATTTCTATTTTTAAAACATATTTTTTTAACAATTTTGAAAATAATTTTTTTTTTCTAAGAATAAGAAATTTTTAACTGAAATAAAATTTAATATAAATTAATGAAACTTATGAATTTTTGTCTAACATTAATTTCCCTTTTTAAAGTCAAGGGAAATGTCAACGTTTAGCGACAGAAGTTCAAACGATGCATAGTTGGAACTCTCTCTCTCTCTCTGTGGTGTCGTGGCATCCGGTTGCCTATTTCCAGAATATAATCGCGAAACGAAAGAGGCGTACTGCGTCGGTGGGTATATACTGCTACTGTGAGAGACTCAAGCGTAACGAGCGAAATGGAAAAAAAATTACTCTAAAGAAAGAGAGAAGGGAAAAATGGTAAATAATTTCTGTATACTTGAAACAGAAATTTTGACTTAAAAATTATTTGGGAAGTTCTTTTTTTTTAATACAGATTTTAAAAATCTTCATTTCGATCTTTTTCTCGCGGGCCAAGCACGTATGTACCTTAATACGAGAAACATTTAACTCGTTGGTAATTCGAGTTAACTCGTATAGGCTCTTGAAGAGCCCTTCCGACCCCTTTTCTCAAATTTCTTTTACGAATTTTCCCTCTCTTCAATTGGCTTTTTTTGCATCTTTGTTATTTCGCGCTTGACAAAAAAAAAACGCCGACAACAGTTTTAAGCCACTCGCGACTAAAGATAAGATAAACTTTTTCTTTTTTTTTTTTTGCTCCCTAGGGGTGTGATTTTATTTGCTCGCGAAGGGGACAATACGCGTGCCAAATTATCCCAGAGGAATCGTAGAAATTTAAAAAATATTCTAAATTTAATTGCACCGTTTGGTCTTTCGAAATCAAACGAGCTGCCAATGCCTGGTGAAAAATAGCCACGAGTCGAGACAAAAGCACTCGACCTATCGCAAGTTCTATGATTGAGCTCAAGTAATTCCTGGTCTTTGGCATCTTCTTGTTTTTCTTCTTCTTCTTCTTCTTCTTCTTCTTCATCTACTAGGATTTTTTTTTTCACTGACTTTCAACGGGAATTCCTTTTTATTCGTCATCAAGTTTGTCTTTCTCTTCCCATCAACTCTTGGCAGATGAGTACATGTCTAATTCCAAGTGTTGAAAAGTTTGTTTAAATTTGTTTTCGAAATTTTAAATATCCTTATGTCAATTGATCTCAATTCATGAAAGAAAACTATTATTTAAATTTTGATATTTTCATTATATCTTCTTATTTTATAATCCAACACTTGAAAAAATATCTAAGACATTAAAACAAATATTTCATATTGAAAAGTAAACACTTAAAATTCAGAAAAAAGAAATAGTTTCAAAATGACTTTCTCAAAAATAAATATTAGTGATAATCGATTATTAGATTTTAAAATTCTTTCCTTTCAAGAAAATTATGTCTTGGAATCATTGAATTTCTTTAAAAAAAAAAAATTATGCATACAATCACTTAACATTTAGGTATGTTCGTATTTTATTCGCGTATATGTTAAACATTCGAATGAATCGAGTTAAGAGAAAAATAAGCGAAATTTATATTTGTGGTCGTAACTACATTGTGTTACAGAAAAAAAAAGAAAAGAAAAGAAAAGAACTTGAGTAGTTGCATGTAAATTCGCGGTTTCCTGGAAGAACTTAACGCCTTCCATTACCATCATGTACACTTCAGCATAAAATTCTAAACCACTCTTTTTCTTACACTGTAAAGACTAAAACTTTACAGCATATGTTTAAGGAACCTTAAAGGGACTCAAGCGAGAAGCAATCGAAGTCACTTGAAACGTGAAATTACCATTCTTTAAAAACCCTTTTTTCTTTCAAATATATTAATATTAATTTAAATTTTAAGTTTTCAATATAATTTAAAATTTTAAGTTTTTAATATTAATTTAAAATTTTCATGTTCATATATATTCAAATTAAAGAATATTTAATAAATTTTTCAATATAATGCATAAAGTTTAAAATTGATATATCAAATTTCTTCAAGCAGTGCAAAATTATTTTCCTCTCCAAAACAAAAGAAATCTTTAGAATTCAATATTTGATGATTTGCGTTTTTTTTTTTTAATGAAATCTCTTTTTAAATAAGGTTTTATCGTAACTTACATAGAGGCCGTTTTCACCGAGTGGAGAAATTTAATCTTCCAAGAGGTTAAAGGCAGTAATTATATATTCTGCGTCTGCGCAGAAGCAAACATTCTGCGCAGACGCAGATCTTTAACCAATCGGAAGATTAAATTTATCCACATGGTGAAAATAGCCTCATATACTCTCTAAATCTGAATCAGTAGAAATTTTACTAATTCAATCAGTACTTTTCATTTTAACTGAAGTTTCAGTTATTTTTTGAAATTTACTAATATCCCAGATAGCACGGAAACTTGCAGCAAGCTTGCGGCAAGTTCACCGTGAAAGCTTGCCTGAGCTAGCGAAATGTCCCACCCAGGGCAAGCTTGCCGTGAAAGCTTGCTGTAAGCTTTCCAGGAAAGATTGCTGCAATCTTGCCATGAAAGATTTCTACAAGATTGCTTCAAGCATACTAAGAATGATTGCGGCAAGCTTGCCGTGAAAGATTGCTGTAAGCTTGCTACGTAAGGTTGCAGGAGAATTTCAACAAGCTTCTGGAAAGGTTGCTGCAAGGTTGCAGCAAGCTTGCTGCAATTTTTAAAAAATACATTTTAAATTTTAAAAAAATTTATTTGCTTGCGCGGCAAGCTTGGCAAGCTTGCACGGTGAACTAGCCGCAAGCTTGCTGCAAGTTTCCGTGCTATCTGGGATAGAATTAGTGAATATGCAAGCAATAGAAAATAACTTCTGTAAATCAGTAATTTGTATATAACATAACCTTTAAAATTAACTATTAAATCAGTAGATTTTGTGGCCGCCGCTATATATTTATATTACTGATTCAATCAGTAATTGATATTTTACTAATTGAATCAGTTTTCTACTAATTGCCAGTTGCTCAATTCTCGCTATGGCAATTAGTAGATTTCTACTGCTAATCAGTTAAATATGACTGATTCAGATTTAGAGAGTAGTTAAATTTTTGAGACATAACCTTACTTTTTTTTTGGTGGGGAAATTGCATTTTAACACAGTAAGTCAAATTACAAAGTAATGATTCGTTTTGACTAGTTCAGTATAAAACCACCTTAAAAATAGATTTTGTACTAAGAAATTTTTTTACTAATTCCAATATTGTAAAAACGCAGAAAATTAAAAGGCATTAAAATAAGCTGCAACGCTTATTATTTTAATCCAATTTTGCTTATTTTAATAACAAAATGGATTCCATTTAATACCAAAATGGATACCATTTTGGCATTAAAATAAGCAAAATTGGATTAAAATAATAAGCGCTGCATAGCTTATTTTACTACCTTATAATTTTCTCTGAATATATCAAATTCTAAATGTTTCATTTGATTTAAAAAAAACATTGTGTCAACGACTTATATATATTCTAAAGCTAGAAAAAGCAACGTGAAAAATATAAAGTAGGGTGAAATCGTAGCAACGCACAAGTGGAGCCACGTGTTATTGGTCCGCTGCTGTGCAGCTTGGGCAATTAATGTCACAGACTGGTATCGCCTTACCCCAGGGTCCAAGCTTTTTTTTTTTTTTAATCACTCCTAGAGTATGGATTTTTCGAGACCATACTTATGTCGACACCCTTTCTCCCACTCTTTTTCTCTTAATACACCCCTTCTTCCCCCTTTCTTTTCGACAATTTCCGAGGACGCGAGGGAGACTCATGTAACATTAGCCCCCAATATATATATATATATATATATATATATATATATATATATATATACGGGGGTGCAAACACCCCGCCATCCTTGAAAATAAACAGAATCGAACCCTTTTTGTAAATTCAAATGGACTCGAGAGAAAGATAGAGAAAAAAAAGGGGGGGGGGAGATCGAATAGGGATAAAAAAAAAACTATCGCCTTTGTTCGAATATTCGGCTAGTTCTTTATATATAATATGGAATTTTATTTCATATCAAATTGAGTTGAAATTACGCGCTATGGATCAGCAAACTGCTGTCAAAACAGAAATTCGACTCCATATATACGATATATTTGAGGTAATTTTTTTTAAAACCGCACCTTCTCTCGCACCAATAGTTTTCATTTTTTTTAGAGATGAACAGATGCGACAGATGTATTTTTGGAAGGAAAAAAAAATGAGATGTCTATATATATATTGGTCTGATAAAGGGGTTTATAACGTTTGTGCTAATAAAAAGAGGAAATTAGTTATCATGTGACTTTAAGATCATAAATAAATATATTTATTTAATATAATAGTACCAATTATTTGAATCAAAGAATTTTTATTTCTGACCAGAGTATTAATCAATTTTATTTGATAATGTGTAATTAAATTTGATTTGGATTGAATTTGATTGAAAAACAAAAAAGTTATCAGTCTTAAAAAAGGTTTTGAAAAATATACATAAAAGAATTTGATTAGGTTTTTCTTTAAAAAAAAAGAGACTAACTTCTCTTCTAATGGGAATTGACGTGAAAGAACGACATAATGGCGAAGGTAAATGATTTGAAAAGGTGTGTTCGAGGGCGAGGTAAACCTATCTCGACTCGGATGTTTGCAACGTCATTGTTAAGGGGATCTAAAAAAAAAAGAACTCGTTTCTAAGGCATATATATATATAGTTGCTTGTGAGATTGGAGTCTGAGATTCGACTGTATTAGTCGAAATGAGACATATGAAACTTTTACCTTATTATTACCTTAAAAAAAAAAATCATTTCTAAATTCCACTCGTCAACGAAAATTATCATTTATATATATATAATTTCTTTAAATTGAAAGTCATTTTGACTTTATATTTCATTTTCGAATACTTTTAACATAAATGGAGGAATGTAATAGTCATGCGTGAGTGGATCGTCCTTATGAGTGGACCACTTTCCGGTTTTTTTGAGTGAATGTCTATTTTTATTATTTTTCATTAAAAAGTATTTTAAATAAATAATTAATACAATAAATATTTAAATTGTATGACATTTAATGAATTTTAATAAGTTTTATGATTTTTCCAGTGTGGTCCACTGAAGACTATTGTACACAAAAAAACAAAATGTAGTCCACTGATTACAATCCCCCATAATATCATATTGTATAGCAATAAATTTTTTTAATTTAATAATAAATGTTTATTTTAATAATATAAATTGACTTAGAATTTTAATTCAACTTAAAATAGAATTTTAATTATATTTTAGAAATGGTTAATTAATGAAATTTATTAAGGTATATTATAATGATCATATTTCGAATTGAGAAGGCAAAAGATCTACAAGTTATAGTAAAGTTGTTAAATCAAATGTCGGTAAAATCTAGAAGAGAATATAATGAAGAGGGTAGGGGGGAAAGAAAAAGAGAGAAAGAGAGAGCCAGAGGGTTACTATAAATTTCGTTGTCGGACTTCCTTCGCTTCACGTTGTGCATGGACGACACAGAGAGGCTATTCCGCGTTCATAGATCTCTCTAGATCGCGGATATAAGCTTGTCTGACCAACCACGAACCTCCATGAAAGGCGCACTAATTGTAATGAGTTCTTTGCCACGACTGTTAGAACGCGATGGAATATAACATATTCTTCTTTTAAAAATTAACTTCACGAGGAAATTTTATCTTTTTATTTTTTATTATATATGCGAAAAAAAATAATTAAAGCGGTGTCTGTATTCCATTATACGGACGGAGAATTTTTAATCGTGACAAAGTATTTTTTAATTAATTAAAATATTTACCTTAATAACGAATTTTCAGTTTCAAGGAGATTTTTTCAAACTAAATATATATAGTCATCGGAGATCTCTAAACTTTCAAAGTTGGGGCTCCTTCAAAGTTAAATTTCCATTCAGAAAATGTGAAAAATAACCGTAAAAATATAACTAAATTTTTTATAATAAAATTTTTCCAATAAATTAAAATATTTACCTTAATAACGAATTTTCAGCTTCATATTCTTTCAAACTAAATAGCCCTCGGAGATCCCTACTTTCAAAGTTAAATTTCCATTTAAAAAATGTGAAAAATAATATCGTAAAAAATAGACCGAGTTCTAAATAGTCTGAATATGAAGAATTCTGTGCGTCCTTAACTTTGAAGATACGTGACACCACAAGCGGATCTGCAAAAAGAAAAATTTCCTTTATTAAAAATTGTTCAAGTGCTATAGCTATACTTTGAAGGGAAATAAAAATTTTAATGTTTAGAAAATAAGGTAAAAAAAAAACCAAACATAGATTTTTAATATATATTTCAAAGTGGACAATAGCGGACCTTAAAAAAAACTCTTTATATAGTCCCAACAATTACAAGAGCAGTATAATAAAATTTCCGATATTAAAAGCAACAGTTGAATTGTCAGGCCAATTGAGACGAAATGCAAATTAAAAGAAAAAAAAAAAGAAAGATTTTTCACGATAGGGTTTATAGACGGTTATTAAATTAAATCGCACCTGCCCCCTCTCTTGGTGCCGAAACGAAGCCATTTTTCCGGAAACAATGTTGTGACAAGGGCCATCGAGAACAGTCCGTTAGGACTTTTTTTTCGGTATTTAGATCCTCTCGAAAAGGTTCAATGGACCCTCTGGGTCGCGGAACGCAGCGGGCACTCTATATATATATATAACACCAATGTTCTTTCTAGCTCGCACAAGTGTTCATGTATGCTATTCGATGACGCATTTTCTCTCGTTGTGTGTGCTGCAATTTTTATACACACATGTATATTAAAAAAAAAAAAAAAAAAAAAAAACTCGGTCGTATTGGACCGCGTATAAAGGGTTATTCAGCCGAGCCTACACGGATTAAATGATAAAAAAAAAGACCCCAGCTCTCTGAAATACGGGGCCTTCTTTTCAGGTTCAGGCTTTTTGAAAAATTTTTAAAACCCTCCTTCTTTTGGTGGGTCGCGCAACTTTTAAGAACGACGAATAAAAGGGTTCGACTGAAAGGCCGCAATATAAGAGATATAGAGAGTGGGGGAGGGCATCAAACTAGGGCCAAGGGTTGTAGAGGGGGGGAGGGAGGAGGGGGGGTCCAGAGGTATCTATAGGACCGTGCGTGTCGTCCCCGGGGTTTCTCATATTTTTTAAGATTTGCTCTTTAAGCTCCGTCACGTTTTTCGTATTCTCATTTAAAGTCGTGCCCCCGGCACTCTTTCCAAACCATGCGTGGGTGGCATCCTTATAGTCTACACAATTTCTCTCTGTCATTCTCTCTTTCATCTTCTTCTATTTTTTATTTTCTTTTTTATCTATCCCTTAAGTTCTTTATGAATATATATATATATATATATATAGTTAATTCATATTGCTTCCTCATAGAGGAAGTATTTTAAAAAAGTAACATACTATAATTTTTTTTTTTTTTGTTTCTAAAGTCCCTTTCACCGAAGCATAGAAAATTAAAAGGTATTAAAATAAGCTATTATTTTAATTCAATTTTGCTTATTTTAATCCATTTTAATTTAGTAGGTAAATGATGTTAACCAGTATTTGGCCTAATGGCTTATTAGGCCAAATACTGGTTAACATCATTTATACCTACTAAATTAAATTATATGGCTTTTCAAAATTACTAATTTAATCCATTTTGGTAGTAAAATAAGCAAAATTGGATTAAAATAATAGCTTATTTTAATACCTTTTAATTTTCTGTGATTGGCAAATCAAACCGACAGTGGCGCCGCCCTGGTGTATAGCAAGAGAACTAGATTTAGTGGGAACAAAATTTTTAAAATGCATGTAAAAGCGAAAAATTATGTTAATAATTAATTCACTAATGGAGTGAAATAATTATTAGTAAATTAATTATTAAAATAATTTATCGCTTTCCCATGCATTTTTAACATTTTGTTCCCACTAAATCTAGTCCTTCCGCTATACACCAGGACGGCGCCACTGTCGGTTTGATTCGCCAATATCTCCGAAATAATATTAGGCTTAGTTTTCATGTACGGTGCACGAAAAACTGAGCCTAATGTTATATAGGTCCTTTCTCTCGTGGAGCGTCACATATATATGAAATGCGCCAAAGATTCATAATTTTAATTCTGGAGAAAATTGAGAGTAATAAGCTCCAGGCATACAAAACAACTGTCATGAAGTTTACTTGTGACAAACGCATATAATGCACATTGTAATTTCTCCACTATACATATATATATATATATATATAAGGAATGATAGAGACACCCACCAGTGACACATTATCACTTGGGACATACATATTGTAATTTGTCTCCAAGATATATAATCTTCAATTTCATATTAAACTATATACAAATTCACTTTATAAACACAGAAAAAAAGGTGGGTAAAAAGTTGTAAAGATAGAGGATAAAAGTCGTTAGGATACAGGGTAAAGGATAAAATGATGAATAAAAATGTTACTAAAATATTACTAGAAAAATGGATGTCATATTTGAGTAAACTGTCTAATTTTAATAAAAAATATTAGTAATTTTACACTTAACTTATTAAATCCACAAAATTTTATATAAATAAGTAATTGCATGTGGAAATATTTTGCCTATAATTATTGTCTATTAATAAAAATATCTTTGACTAATATAACTGACAGCTGACGACAGTGCGTAAATAATCAGAACTGGGAAATTAAGTCTGTATTGTTGCAGGAAAGCAGAGTTGGGTAGTAACTGAATTTTTTGTCCATATTAGGCTCTGTCACTTGTGACGTCAGAGTCGATTCTAGGAGATATCACAGAAAATTAAAAGCTATTAAAATAAGAATAAGCTATTATTTTAATCCAATTTTGCTTATTTTAATACCAAAATGGATTAAAATAAGCAAAATTGGATTAAAATAATAAGCTTATTTTAATGCCTTTTAATTTTCTATGTAAATAATACGTGAAAATCAAAAATTCCACCGACAAAACTATTATACCAACTGGTGGTAAAAACTTTTTTCACTGCTTCTATTAATTAAAAACTGTTTTACCGACTGCCGATAAAATAGATTTGATGTATTAAATTGGTAAAACCGATGTATCGAACCATGCGTATATACGGAACCCTAAAATCCAGGAAGTAATCCAGGACGGTCCACTTATGACTACATTCCCCTATATATAAAAAGACTGAATCACTTGATGATGTTTTTTTTTTGTATCAATTTCGTTGATTTACCGTAAAATCGATACAATTAGAGGAAGAGAAATGAGGTAAACAGAAAAGATGATTTTGTTTCGCGAAGTGCCTTGTGACGTTCCACATAACGATGTTCCCCCCCCCCCCGCGGTCTTGAGGAAGATTGCAAACGCCGGCTTTGATCACGACAAGAAAGGAAAACCACAAGAAACCGGAGAAGGATGATATCGGACCAAGTTCCTCGTCTCCAAACCCCCCCCCCTTTTCTCCTCTTCTTTTGCCGAAATTACCGAAACGCCAAACGATCTTTCACAAAAGACGCGACGCAAGAAGGTATACCTATAATGCTCCACTGAAGCAAAGCTCAAGTTTTGTTTTGGATCAAGACAAAAATATGTTACATATTCTCTGCGAAAAATGTTTTCTTCAACAAAACAAAAGTTATAAGAGTCATTAATTGTCTCTTAAAAATAAATTTTTGTTTCATTTAACCATTCGTGTATATATAGTTGTATATATATATATAAAAACAGAAATGATAAACGGGACAAGAGAATGGGGCATAATGTAATTTTGACAGAAATAACACACCGCATTCGGTGAGAGATATACAATAAGTCTCAGCGACACACTCATCTTAGAATAGTTCACCAGTAGACTATTGCGCTTTTACATATTCTTTTTCATCTTTTCTTCATATTAAATAATATTTTCAAATTTTTAAATTGATCTACACAATAAATAAAATAAAAAAAAATATTATATTTTCACAGAAAAAAAGGTGGGTAAAAAGTTGTATAAAGATAGAGGATAAAAGTCGTTAGGATAAAGGGTAAAGGATTAAAATAATAAGCGTTGCAGCTTATTTTAATGCTTTTTAATTTTCTGTGATAAATAAAATTTTTTCTTTATTCTAATAAAATGTTATTATTGTTTAAAAGTTTTGAATTGTTTTTAATTTTGCGAAAGTATTTTACGTTAATAATTGAAAATAGAATTTATTGAGGGATATAAAATATATATATATATATATATATATATATATATATATATATATATATAGTTATGGAGAAAACTTGAAATTTACCGCAGAAGCCAATGAATCAATCTCATAAGTCTCGTGTTAAAGAAAAGACTTTACTGCAGCAAAACAATGCGTTTTGCTTGATTGATCTTACAGCATTGCAAAGTGAGTTTTCTCGTGTTCTCCAGACTATAATCACGAGTAGACATATATATTTTACATATTGTACGATCGCTTCCACTGCGTGGTTTGATCTACAGAGATAATATGTTTCCATATAGCATAAGAAACTATAGACAAAAGGAGGGAAGTCCCTGGTTCATCCCACTTTTGAATTTTCGAAAAAAAAAAAAGATTTTTTTTATTTGTAAAAAATGGTAATATCGAATAAGATGATATCATAAACCCCTATATATATCCAAGCATGTTTAATTATAGGTATATTATTTCAAAAAAAAACATTCGCCTATAATTTTTTTTTCACAATTCAGTTTAATATTTTATATATTTTTCTCCTTTTTTTTCCAAATATACAGGCTCTATTAACTTAAATAAATTGCAATTATTTTTATTTCAAAAATTTTTAATTAAAATGATAAAGTGTCCATTTACAGTGGAATCATTAATCAAATTTTTTTTATTCAGCTGTGATGAAAAATTTGAATAGATATACTACTGATATTAAAAATGAGCTCTCTCTCTTTCTCTCGCTTGGTTTTGCATACGCACGTATATTTTGTGATCAGACGATAGTTTTTTGTTCGCGGGGCATTCCTCCCTCCTTGTGTTCTCCTTTTTGCGCATTCCCTTTTATTTCGCGATTCGAACGAGCCAACCAGTTTTCAAACTCTCCTTAACTAGCAGTGTGGGAGCATGGGTCGACGAACGATGTGCTCATAACTCTTGATATGTGAATCGAAAAATATCGTATTTTCGTTTCAAACAAGAAACAAAACAGCTCCATCTCACTTGAATTTATTTAACTATTAAATTTACGTCGATAATGTAGAAAGTAGAGATCTACTTTTTTAACTGTATGTTAAATTCTGTAATTTTCGTTTTAATGACCGATGGTAAAGTCAAATGTCGGTATATACCATATGTCGATATTTTATCATACAACATATAATTTTAAAATTAGTGTCTAATTGTGAATTATACAATCCTTTAATTTTTCCTATTTTTAACAAATCTTATTGATAAATATTTTAATCTTTATAATAAAATTTAATGAAAGTAAATTAATTATGATTCTAAATAAGACTATTTTTTTTTTTTATTAATTTCTATATAGAAAAATAATTATTTTTATAATTTAAAAAAAAATTAAATTCAGATAAGAATATAATTAATTAATTTTATTTATTAATTTTATATTTTATGTAAAACTGTATTTTTTTTTAAATGTGATTTACATATGCTGTTATTTAAGTAGAGAATCACTAAAGGAAAAAAAAATTGTCATGAGTTTCAAAGGTTCAAGTCCAAATACCTCGCGTCTGGTCGGAAGTAAATCGCGTTTTGGTTACAATCTTGTTAGACATAAATCTTGTCAGTTCATTGATTTGTAGGCTAATCGGTCCAAAGGTACTTTGCAAGAGACATTAACTTATCTCTAACAGATTTTGACATCATTATTATGAGAAAATGAAATAAAATTGCAACATACTTTTTAAAAACTAGATTTTCGAATTTAAAACAAATTACAAAAACTATAAATCTGTAAAAAAAAAAAAATTTCATCCCATTATGAATATATAATATATTATTCTTAACAGGAAGTAATATTTTTTGTTTCAGCTCTTTTGAGGCAAAGTATGTCCCCAGGGGCTGAGAATTTGATGAGTGGTGCAAAATCAATTCCCCAACCTATCATTGATTATTCTCGTTATGTGAGAAGGTATTCAAGTGGTCAAGAATGTGGAAGTGCCTATTGTAAAGAACTTGGTTGCAGGGAGCACTTTCACTGTTTAGATTGCAGTGGACGTGTTTTTATTAAGAAAGAAGAAATGATTAGGCACTTCAAATGGCACAAGAAGAGGGATGAATCTTTACAACATGGTTTCATGAGATATTCGCCTACTGATGATTGTGCTGAAAGGCATCCTTCAAGAAGTTGTCCCCATAATAAAAAACAAACCCACTATCATTGCATCCATGACAACTGCGACAAAGTCTATATATCAACGTCCGATGTTCAGATGCATGCCAATTATCATCGAAAGGATTCGGCCATCATCCAGGAAGGCTTCCAGAGATTTAGAGCCACCGAAAGCTGCGAAGCTGAACATTGTTCGTTTGCTGGTCAGAGGACCACACATTTTCATTGCCGACGACAGGGTTGTCGGTACACCTTCAAGAACAAAGCTGACATGGGTAAGGCTAGTTTTTCAAAAGATAGAATTTGAGTTAAAGAAAAATGTTTAAAAAAAAAAACAAAGTAGAATTAAATTCATGAAAAATCAGTGAATATTCTAACCTAGCCCTCAGTCTTGCTTTTCTTCTTGAGGTATCATTCGCGTTTGAGCATTGAACTGAATTTCTGTTTCTTTTTTTTTTTTACAGACAAACACAAGTCATATCACATCAAAGACGAACAGTTTACGCGTGATGGTTTCAAGAAATTCATGAAGTCCGAAGCATGTCCCTTTGAGCAGTGTAGATTCTCGAAAGTGTGCAATCATATCCATTGTATAAGACCCCAGTGTAGTTATGTCCTTCACTCCTCAGGTCAACTTATCTCCCACAAGCGCAAACACGAGAGAAACGATTCAGAGCTGGCTTACAGGAAATATAAACAACTCGGTGGAAATAGACCGCCTGGAACATGGATGCCAGATGAAATCAGCTCCCAGAGTCTTTCGCTTAGTTTAAATGGAGAAAGTTCAAACGAGGGAAGAGGATCACCTTTTTATTCAATGGATGATTCCTTTCAAAGTGCCAGTGATTTGGCAATGGATCTCACATCTCCTTCCACAGGTCCATCGACTGGTGCTTCCCAAAGCATCGAACAAGCATCACCGATTCAACTTCAACAGCAGCAATTAACACCTGGCGAATTAGCTTTCCTTGCACCGGCTTCAGCAGATTGTTCATGTCAATTTGGCAGAGAACATCATCACTGTGGTCTTGATCGTTGTGGTGCAACATTGCGTGATCCCCGAGAAGTTCGAGAACATCTACGTGAACACGAAACTCAAGAAAGAATCACTGACGCCTTCTTCGAGGAAGGAGGCTGCGATGACACCTGTCCTTATTTCGACAAGGAGAAACACTATCACTGCAATTGGGAAAATTGTCGCGAAGTTATTCTAGCGACCGATAAACCTTTCAGAAGACTGCAACATTACAAAATTCATGAGTACAGCAGACAACTTGATCTCTCTTGTACATCACATGCACTTTCACCCGATGTCACTCTGACTCATTTAACTAACATTGACGCAATGTTCAGGCGGAAAAGAGGAAGACCACCAAAGAATAGAGTAATTGAAATTTGGTCTGGTGGAGATCCAACAACTCACACCCAAGATTCCCCTCAGGCAATATTCACCAGTTTTAAATTACCTAAACCTACAACTCCAACACTAACTATAAATACACTTTCGGATGAAAGAGAAGGAAGTGTGTCGCCAACAAATAGTGTCGGTGAACAAGAAGGATTTGTAACCTACAATTCAGAGGGTTGTCTTGATTCAGCGTGTTCATTAAAAACCACAAGGCATCATCATTGCTCGCAAATTCGATGTCATTTCTCTACCGAAAGACCAGATCAGCTACTTATGCACAGCAAGGACTTTCATGATAATGTTGACATTTTACCAGGATTCGCCTTCTTTGATAAAATGATTGATTGTCGATTACCTGGCTGTCATAGCAATCGAGTGAACCGACATTTTCATTGTACAAGAGCAAATTGTGGATATTCTTTTGTTCGATATTCAACAATGTCCCTACATGAGAAACAACATCATGGTACAAGTGATCAACAAAGTTCCGAGCAGAATCAAGAATCACTTCAAATAATCCCTCAATCATTGATTCATGAGACAAAACCAAGAATACAAGTTAAAAATCCTGCCGAGTTAATTGAAAAACAAGAAATGGATAACATGGAAGAAAGCCGATCAATTATCGATGACAAGGAGCAACCTCAAATTCCTAGTCCAGATACTAACAAAACCACGGGTGAGTTTCATATTACATGAGCACGAAAAAGCGCCGCATTTTTATACACGAGAATTTCATTTGGTAGTTTTCTTAAAGTATACAAAAACAAAAATTACACAAAAATTTATGCATGCTCATTTGCACGTAGACGCACTCAAAAATTGATTAGAATTTAAAGATTACTTTTTTTCTATTTCGAATATTCAATGAGTTTTTTGTGTTGAAAATTCTTTTGAAAAGCATTTTTCTACTTTACACGGTGGTTGTATTATAGTGGGAGGTATTTGAAGTTTTGGTTGTTTGGTTGATTGTTGCTAGTGGTGAGGGCGGCAGGCACCTATTATCCGGTTAGTGGACCGCCGAGCGAACCCGCTCTTCCGGGCGCCATGCTATCCATGCGAACTTCCGTGCACCAAGGTTCGTCTCTCATCCGACCAGTTTTCAGTGCTTTTTTATATTCGTAGTTATTATTATTGCCAATTGCAGTATGGGAGCTTTTCTTATCAAAAATCGTTGATTAAAAGCTCTCAGCCTCCAGGCAGAAAGTATCGCTCACGATGTCGTCTAAGGAGATATTAATTAAAAGCACTAGTTTCAAAATCTTTAAAACCAAGCAGATAGCAAAAAATCTCCTTAAACAGCATCGTGGTATCGCTTTTCAAATTAGAAAATTACTAAACAATAAACTATTCATTTAATCATAAAATCTCTTTCCGTTTTTTCAGAGACCCAAGTGATTCCATCAACCAGTTCGAATTCGCCTCACATACTCTATGGACCAGATCAAAGTTGCAGTAGGCCATTCTGCAAATTGAAGAGAAAGAATCACTACCATTGTAATGCCTGTAATCAGGCATTTTCCGAATTGGATCGACTTGTCGCCCATATTGCGAAACATTCAACTGGAGCGATCTTAAGTCAACAACAACAACATGAAATAACACCACAATCATCGAATCATATACAGCACGACTACCTCGCTCAACTCTCACAAAAACATGACTTCATGACACAAAATGTTCAAATGGCCCAAAATATTCACAATTTTCAAAATCAAATGCAACGTCAAATGCAACAAACCCTAGGACAAATGGCCCAGCAGCCACAAGCCAAAGAGATTAAACTAGAAAGTCCAAGGCTGAGCAATGAAAATAATCAGGTGAATCTAATAAAACGAGAACCAACCGAGAATTTAAGGGACGAAGGAACAACAAATACTCACGATAATGAGAATGGACAAATTTCACAACCTCTTCCGCCAAGTGTACAACAATCTCAAGTACCACCTGGTTTTGAATTAGATCTCAGTCATGGTTTTCATTTTCCAAGTCCTGCTGTAATGGCCGCGGCTATGAATCAACAAATTGCCTTGATCAATCAAGCACTACCACCATTTCTACAGCACGGCAGTATGTATCCAGGTGCGCCGGGTTTAATGTTTGCTCCAGGTTTACCACCTGCAAATTTCCTTCCACCGGGTCGTGATGAAAATCCTCTCGCATCATTGGCGGCGAATTTAAATTTAAAAAGATCCCTATCGCCAACTGACAGCAATTCCGTGGATGCTAAGAAGCAACGACTTCATCATTCTATGCGAATGCTTAAAGATGAACCTGTTCCCGATGGTTACGTTAGATTTCGATTTAATGAAGACTGCCGATATCCACACTGTGGATATCGTGAACATCAAACTCATTTTCATTGCATGCGACAGGACTGTGGATATTCATTTTGTGACAAGACAAGATTTGTTCAACATACCGCAAGACACGAACGTCTTGATACTCTCATGGGTGGCGATTTTCAACAATACAGAGCTAATGTCCCCTGTGGAAGAGCTCAATGTGCTTATACATCATCACTTGGATCAATGCAAAATAAGGCATCACATTTTCATTGTTTGAAATGTGATTTTGTTTGTACGGACACAAATAAAGTTGTGGCACACAGAAGACAACACGCTAAATTGGATAGCATTGCGGCTGCTGGTTTTCAAAAATTTACACCAAGTCAACCATGTGGTGCCGTTCAGTGTCAACATTCTGGAAAACAGACCCATTATCATTGTCTTCAATGCCAATATGCCGTGCTTGGCTTAGCGCAAATGTCTGCACATAAATATAGACATATGGACGGTTGATCGACACAAAAAAAAAAAATTATTAAAAGACTTGAAGAAAATCTGTACAGTTTAAGATGAAAAAAAAAATAATTGACTTTTATTGGACTGAATACAGTTATTGAACTTATGTGGTCCTAAATTTAGGACATTATTAGTCCTCAATTGTCTAAAAGGACATTAGCACAAAAATTGAGCCTTTTCAAAAATATCTATGTACAATAATTTCGAATTTTGAAAAAGCCTACTTGGAATCATTCCTCAAGAAAATTTTTCAATACTGATTTTAAAAAAAAAAAGAAAGCTGACGAAGACAATAAATCAAATGAAAAATCAATATTAATAGAGAGATATTTATATTAAATAGCTTTAGCACGAAAAAGACAAAAAAAATAAAAATAAATAAACTGTAACGTATTTAATGAAGGAGAGCCGTGTAAATTTCTAATGCTCTCATTATATAAGTGTATAGAAAATAGTTAAAGGCCTATGTGTAACATTGACCTAGAAATTTCAGGATAGTCCCTTTAGTTAGTAAATGTATTATATAGTTATAGAAACAAAGGATTATCAATTATAGAGAATTATAGATCGATCGAAATATTTGCAAAAAAAAAGTCTCGATCGGAAGTCATGATTATAGTATACGAGTCAATTCGATTGAGCGATGAGTATTTATAAAAGCAAGGCTTTTTTCACATTCTTCTCATTATTGAAGAAATGAAGCGCGATTATCGAAACGACCAATGACAAAGATTATAAATTAAAAAAAGACAAAGCGACGCACAGTGGTAACACTTCCGTTATAGACAGTTAGTTATGGATAAATTGGTTAAATTTTTAATTTCAAGCACTATTTTTTTGGATACAAAAAGAAGTATCTTTAAGATGTTTTGGTCGCCGTTTTAAGATGTTTTTTTTGCAATTTGCTTCTAAGTTATCAAAAACATTTTAAAATGCATATCTTAAGATATAAGATAGATCTTTTTGCTTCCAATGTGTCTTATAAGATACTTCTTTTTGGAGTGTAACTGATATTTTTAGTTTTGTGAAATATATTCTGTAATAATAAAAAAAAAATTACAAATCTTTGTTTCGTTAACGGAAATTCCACGAGCGACGAAAGGAAAAACCATGCGTTTTCACTACGATCGACTTTGAAATGGTCACACTCTTATCGTACTAAAGATAGAGCTTTTTTGGTTGTGTCCAAAAAGTTTAGTAGAATCGTATTATAAACAGTATTGTGGAACGTTTTAATAATTAAAAAAAAAAAAAAAAGACTGCCAGCCGAGAGAGGAGCAAAAAAAAAACGATAAGAGATGGCAAATGGTTTCGAGTGAGAGAAAGACAAACGTGATATGATAATTAAGAATGGAAAGACATGAAATGTATCTCAGAAAAGAAATTTGCGAGTTTTTTAAAAATTTTGCAAAAAGTATATAATCGGCATATACTGTGAAGCGTTGTACACGATAGAATCAGTTAATTTTTTTTTTTTTTATTTTTTTTTTAAATGTGTATATGTTTGTGTATAATCGTTTTTAAGCTAGATTCTCGTGCTTTTATTGTTCCTTTGTAAAGGATGCTCAAGAGGAAATGATCCTGTATACACTTTCGTTTTATAGTATCTTTCTTCCGTCAGACCCTCTGAAATTCTGTATAATCTTTTTGCGGAGATGAAAATAAACTAATTTTGGAGGGATTTGTTAAGAGAAAAAAAGACACATGATGCATATTTTTTTTTTTTTTTTTGAGAATTGTAATAGATTGTAGAAATCGCAAAACTCGCTAACAACGCGCTAGGGTGCCTTTAGGGTTTTTTTTTTTTTTTCAAACTTAGGACCGTGCCTTAGCAATGCATATTATACTCGTGCAACGGCTGTAAACACAGAGATCGACGAATGCAAATAATAATCATTCGAGGGAGGTATGTGTGTGTGTGTGTGATAAGAACTCAGAAGATATTCAAGTACAATATTATTGTGCCGATGAAAAAAGACGATAATAATTCTATTATACGAAAAACTTATGACTTTAGTGCCTTAAAAGCTAAAGAAAAGTCGAAACAAATAACTCAACGACTCTGATTTGTTTTTCTAATTCTTTATTATCCTATACTAATTTTTTTTTTCTATTCAGTGGCCTAGACAGAAAATTAATACTGATTTTAATGATGTAAAATGTTAGAACTAATTTTTGGTCAGAAAATATTTTTTTATTAATTATAAATTTGAGAATTAAAAATTTTTCTCGAAAATCAAGAATTTTACAAAAAAAAAATCAGAGGCTTAAACTGAAACACGTTTTTCATGAGATAAAGACAGAGAGAAAGAGACAACCGCATATGTTGATAGTCTTAATTGTTTTATTTTAATAGTAGCATTCCATAGGAAATACATACACGTTGATCTTGATATAGTCATCCATCTTAGCCCGTTGGCTTACGATTTTTCTCGCGGATATATAGATATAAAATAATCAAGAAATTGAGATATAGAAAGAAACTTCAAAAAAAAAAAAAATTAACTATTGCAATATTGTCGCAAACAAGATCTGATGACGGAAATTCGAGATTTCGAGCTCGACTTTCTGTTCAAATAAAAAAATCGTATTTTAACGTGGCTAAGGTTAGCCAGCCATATGAGTGCCATATCATACAAGAATTAAAAAAAAAAAAAAACCGCGAAAATTTCGCGAACAGTCGCGAAATATATCATTATTAATTCCTAGCTAAGCGAGCGAGCGAAAGACAAAAAACGAAGAAAAAAATTTGTAAAATATTTATTTAGAGTGTAAAACACTGTTTTTTGAGTGATTATGAAAAAAAATTTATATTAAACCGTTATTAATAACGTCTTATCGTTCTTTTAAAAAAAAATTGTTATTTAAAAAAAATTATTTATATTCTATACTATTTTTTAGTTTTTAATATCACACTTTTATGATATGAAAAAAAGGGGTTTTCTATGAGAAATTCAATATAGCTTTAAATTTCTTTTTAAATATATCTTTGACAAATTTTTAAATTGTTTTAAACAAATGTTTTTTATTATTTTATCATATAGTTAATATATTTTCGTAAACTTTAATAAGATAAGGCGTTATTGATAGAAAAAGGTTTTTTCACGGTGCGATGAAATAAAAAAAAAAAAAAAAAAAAGAATGTACGACTGTAAAAATGATGATATATTATAAATATATATATAAATAAATGAATAAATAAAAAAAAATATATATATATGTGTAAGAAAAAAGACACAAGTTAAAAAAAGACAAAGGCGTCCGTTATTGTAATAATGTCGTTAAGGAGTTTGCACTGCAAATCAATAAAAAAAAATCGTAAATCAAGTTTAGAAAATGAATGCGATATTGCGTATATATATATTATATCGAAAATCGAGAGTTAGTGTATAATGTAGTACTATTTGGAACTAGAAGTACGGTCCTTAGTATTAAACGATATCTGCTGTATGAAAGAAGAATTATTATATAACTTTATCTATTATTAATTAATTAATTAATATCGTCTATTATTATTATATTATTATTAAAACCACATCTTATGTAGCTGTGATTTTGCTTTCAAAAAGTAAAAATTAAAAATATTTATAGCAATCAAAAAGGACTTTTCTTTTTTTTTCAATTTCTACTAATTTACCCCCTTTTTTTCACTTTTCAACTACAGGCATAAAAAAAAATAATTGCAAATGAAAATTTGTAGGAAAATAAATTTTTAAATAAGTTTTTCTTATAAAAGATAATGCATTTTGTGAATGAAAAATAAGAACTTTATTTTTACGCAAAATACGACAACAATATGGTCCGATAATGATATCATGACATGATAAATTTAAGAAAATATTTTCTAAAGGCCTAAAAGATATTATCTTATTCCTTCTTTTTTTCCACAATTTGAAATATTCATTTTTTTTTCGTTTGAAATTTCAAAAAGTAATTGTAATTTAAATTATTTTTTTTTTCAGTAAAATATAAACAATTGTTGTAAGATAATTAAATTTAACTAACAAATGTTTTAGCACGCGCATTTAAAAAAAAAATAATGCCATATGTGGTATTTTTAACTCTGTTTATCTCATCCTCTCGGATAAAAGATAACACAATGCGACAGTTCCTCTCTTTGAATTGTGCAAAATTAATTATATAAATAGTGAGATTGAAAATTTATATATTTAGATGAAAAAATTTATACACAGATATATATAATTTTCCTCGGGGGGGTCAATGCACTAATATTTAAAATTTAATAAAATATTTAAATTAAATTTTAAAAGAGAGAAACAAAAAAAGTTTCATTGCAATTTTTTTTTAAATATAATAAAAATTAATATAATAATTTTATTTATTTTTTATTAAATTTTTATCAAGTTTCGTAACGTAAGTGGACTGTCGTCAACCTAATAATAATAATTTCTACAGTTCCCGTTGAAATTAAATATAATGATTCATTTCTCCAGACAATTATTTTTTTTTTTTTTTATCCGATTCGCGATATCTTTTTTTTTTAACACGCGTGTTGATTCGATAATATATATATAATACTTAGGCGTCGCGACGAATTGAGCTACTTTTTTTATATTTTTTCTTCAAGGTCATGTTTATTGTAAAAAAAAAAATAGATTGAAATTTATAAGTATTTATATAATCTGCATAATAAAAGAATATTGAATAAAGCATTCAAGAGAAAGAATTTTTCCCTTTTTTGTTGAAAAATAAGTAACTAATTTTTTTTCAAGATTTACAATAATGCATATAATAACAAATAGGAAATACTTTCTATCGAATATGTGTGAAATGAAGACAATAATAATTATATTAGCAGACTTGTGTGACGTATAGGTTTATGAACTTTCAAGAATAAATCCCACCTTTGAGCTGTTAATAGAATTATTGCCTATATAGTATTTGTGGCAAACATATATATAATAAAATTAGAACGGTTAAAATTTGCCCCTCATTTAAGAGTTATTCGAGTTCACAGAACTACAAGAAAAAAGAAACTTAATCTTGACTTATAAATATATATATTTATATGAAAATCATATCACCTTATTTTCATAAAATACTCTTAGTATTTTTAATTTTGATAAAAAAAAATTTATTGTTAAACAGTATTTCTTTTTTAGTTTTTCTTCTTTTAAATTCGGTTCGATTAAAAATATTTTTTTAGGTACTCACTCGAAAAAATTGTTGAATACGAAAATTTTTTTCTCACTGCCATCAACAAATTTTTGACAAATTCCTTGAAAGCCGGTTTTTGTTTTGTGAAATCAACACCAAATCTGGAAACAATAAATATTTTAAATATTTTATAATAATTTTGCAATTTAATTTTGTGTTGCATTTTATTTCATGAAAAAGTGAAATTTAATATCTACTAAAAAAATAAATATAAACGATTCTCATTTTTCTTTTTTTAAAAGGGATTATTCACAAATTAAAAAAATTTTCTACATATAAATTAAGATTAAAAAATGTAAATTATAAAATTTCACACGAATGGAAATAAAAAAAGAAATATTAAATTAAAAAAGTTGCATTAATTTTAAAAATTAAAATGGTTTCTTAAAAAAAAATGATTTTTTTTCCGTGATATAATACGTCAATAACATTTTTTTTTGCGATAGATTTAATATTTTTAATATAAAATTTAAAAAAAAAATACAAATTTAACATTTTCTAAAAAGAATTCTTTATATCTTCTTTATATTAAAATTATTTCATTTGGAAAATTGTTAAGATTATACACGCACGTCAATCAAATTTTTTTTTATGTCGTTTAATTTTACAAATCAGTTGTGAAAGCATCATATCATATATTAGTCGTTAGAAAAAACATAAAAGTTTATCAATCTAATGTTTGAAAATTATTAGCATATGAAATTATAAATGATTGACAGTTGATAAAAAAAATAGAAGTACACTTTTTCAATAAAAAAAAAAAAAAGCTATACGTTTAATAATTTCTCTTTTATCTATTGCGCTAATAAATTTATATTGTCATTTTTAATTTTCAATTATTAATTATTAATTATTAATAAAGTGATAAGTTAATCTATTTCTATTTATTTTATCCCTAATTTAAAAAATATTAAAATTTTTTTGATAAGAATTTTTTTTTACTATATATAAATAAACACTTGAAAAAATTAAAAAACGATATATGATTAGTTAGCTATCTTGAAATCATATAAGAAGTAGTAGCAATTTTTTTTTTTTTTTCTTTGGAAGAAAACCAGTTTAGAACACGACTGACCAGACAGTACTTTATATCCCTAAAATCTGATGACAAATTATCTCAAAATCTCTTATCTGAAAAATAATTGTATTTACGATTCTAAATTTATTTTTTTTAATACATTGTAGAAATAATTCTCTATGTTTATCATTTTGAGACATTAGATTAAAAGAATTAGATATATAAATATAAAAAAAAAAAAAACAGGAAATTTAACCTTGCTATCTTCAATGAACTAGACAGTGGTTATCGTATTTTTAATTGACGTCAAGATTAGATGCAAAAAGATCTAAAAATATTTTGAAAAAAAAATCTGCATTCAATATTAATCAAAAAATTTTTTTTCACTGTTAACTATGTATTGAAAAATTTATTAAATGTTATATGATACAATATGTATATTTTATTATCAAAATTAGTTCTTCTATTTTTAAAGTAAAATTTATTGGTGGTTGTTTTTTCCATAAAATTGGATCCTCTGCATGTCCACTTACGTTAATAATAAAAAAAATTCTAAACTATATTTTTTTCTATATTTAGTAATTCGTTATGTAATATATGTCCTGACAAAAGTTTTCTGTAAATTTCCATTTTTTTCATACCTAGCAAAAATTGATTTATTGAAAACAATGGAATTTTTTTTGTTTAAACTTCTTTTTATAAAATAGCATATAAGACAAAAAATAATTCTTTCTATTTAGATAGAAAGTTTAGCATATTCATTATAGGTCAAAATAATCAAGTTAATTGATTAATTTTAGTGAAAGAAATAAACAGATTCAAAGTGCAAAATTTTAATGTTTTATCGTTTATATAGGATCCCCTCCCCTTCAAATCATTGATGATTATTATATACTTAAAATCTGCTTTCTATCGGAATATTAATGTCATTCAAAGTTCAAATTCCAATTTAATTTTTTTTTTTTTTGCCAATTTTCGTATGGGAATGCGATATCTACTAAAAAAAAAAAAGAAATATTTGAAAAAAGAAGAAAAATAAAATTTAGTTCTATCACGTGATGCTCATGTGAACATTAAATGCCCAATTTTCAAATTCCATACGCATTGTCCTAGAAGAGCAATCAGGTAAGAAACTACAGGAATTATAAAATGAATTCATATGAAAGTATATTCTCAAATGAAAAAATATAAATCAATTATCAAAATCAATTCTTGCAAATTTTTTTTTATATACCATTAGATTGGAAAAAAAGTATCAGTTAAATATCACGTGAACAATATACGTTCAAGTTAATAATTTATGTGATCAAACATTCACGTGTTTTTTTTTTTTTATTGATGATACAGAAGAGGAATGAAGATGAGAGGAAAATTTTCAAATTAACTCTAATCTATAAAGGAGAAAAAACTGACTGATAAATTTTGTCTCAAAAATAGAGGAAATTTTTCTGATGATTGTAATTTCCTCCTGTGCCTTATATTGGAAAATATCAACATTCAGTAATGAAATAGATTTTTTATAACAATTCTAATGGATATTTTTTGGTCAATTTTTTTTTTTTGGAAAAATTATACAAAAAAAAAAAAAAAACCCTTTAGATTTATATGAAAAAAAAAAATAATTTTTTGTTTTGAATATCGATTTCAAAAGTCTTATTTTCACTTTTGATATAGGAATTTAATTTTAATTTTAACAAATTAAAATACAAAAAAAAAAATAATGTTTTCAACAATAAAAAGAGATGTTCCGCTTTAAAAAATGTGTGTATATGGTATATTTCTATACCATTTCTGAACACAGTTCGAAACAGACTTGCGTAGAAACTGTCGAGCAACCTGGATGAGTCTGCCTCAGTCCTATCCCACTATAATATCCTTTGCTTTGCCGGCTGATATATTAGTCTTTCAATGTCCATTGCCGCATTGCGTACGTACATACAACATAAAAGTGCTCCGCATTATATCAACAGTTATTGTTGTGATATTGAAAACATTTATTCAATTTTTATATTGCAAATAATTCAATTTTCTCAAAAAATTTGACAATATATATATATATTATTAAAGAAATGGAAATATTTCGTGAATTTCCAATTGTTTTTAATTTGTACAAAAAGTACAGTTAAAAATATTTTGTGAATAAGATTTATTTATTTTTTTCACACGTGATTTATAGTCAATAATCAGAAAAAAAGTGTAAACCTCGAATATTTATATATATATATATGGGTATATATTAGACTACAAGGTGAGTCAAGTGCATAATTTTCATATTATACTTCCATTATACAATTGACGGTGTTAGCAAAAAAAAAACATTGTAAATAAGGGACGAACCTTCCAGAAATCAATTATTTTACTATTTATATGAAAATCATATCACCTTATTTTCATAAAATACTCTTAGTATTTTTAATTTTGATAAAAAAAAATTTATTGTTAAACAGTATTTCTTTTTTAGTTTTTCTTCTTTTAAATTCGATTCGATTAAAAAATATTTTTTTAGATACTCACTTGAAAAAATTGTTGAATACGAAAATTTTTTTCTCACTGTCATCAACAAATTTTTGACAAATTCCTTGAAAGCCGGTTTTTGTTTTGTGAAATCAACACCAAATCTGGAAACAATAAATATTTTAAATATTTTATAATAATTTTGCAATTTAATTTTGTGTTGCATTTTATTTCATGAAAAAGTGAAATTTGATATCTACTTAAAAAAAAAAAATAAATAGAAACGATTCTCATTTATTTATTAAAAGGGATTATTCACAAATTAAAAAAATTTTCTACATATAAATTAAAATTAAAAAATCTAAATTATAAAATTTCACACGAATGGAAATAAAAAAAGAAATAGTTATAAAATTAAAAAAGTTGCATTAATTTTAAAAATTAAAATGGTTTCTTAAAAAAAAAATGATTTCTTCTTATAATCTTAAATTGAATCGAGTTTTCGGAAGTTACGCATTTATTTTTTACCGGCAACCGGGTGAAGTGAAAAAAAAAAAAAACAAGAAGGTTGTCTGTTCCTATCAAGAGGAACAGACTTTCGCACGAGGTCACAGAATGATCGAATTCAACTCTCCATATTAGTCACACAACAAATTCAAGTCTAGTACGCGGATAACATATAAAAGTTATTTTCTTAAGAAACCAACAATTGTACAAAAGAAAATATTGTAGGAATTGTGACAAGTTTTTGCTTTCCCTATTTGGAATGTGGATTGCCCATCGGAGGTCGCTTTTTATTTATTATTTTTTTTTTTTGTTTTTTTGAAGCCGTTCTGATAATATGTTATTAACTTTTTTGTAGAAGAAAAAATTTTCCTTGATTTTTATTTTTTTTTTAATAAACTTTTAAAAAACAATTATTACTAATATTTTATTTTATTTATAGATTTTTTTTATAGATTTTAAATTATATAAATAAATTTTTATAAAATATAAAAATAGAAATAAACTAAAAATATTTGAAAAATATTTCCTTCACGTGCTTTTTTTTGATATCTAATCATATAATGAAATTAACGACAATTAAGGTAAACAAAGCAAACTTCATTTTAAAAAAAATAATTGATAAATGCTGTGAAGAAATTAAAAGCATCGTTAATAAGATATTAAAATTACTTTCAACATTATGATAAATTTTAAATATATTACTGTTTTGATTTTTTCTTATATATTGTTTGCAATTATTGTTTTTGTATCTTGACGTTTGTTTCCTTTTTGTGATTTTAATTTTATTTGTAAAAATGCATATATCTCAAAAAAATAAGGAAAATATTTTCTTTTAATGATGCAATTTTTTTTTATAATTTTTCATTATTTAATCTTTTTGGATTTTCATTTTGAAAAGAAAAGTGAGAAATTTGATTTAATTAATAGTCTTCTAAATTTATCATAAATGTTATGTCTTTGTAATAATTTATTATTATCATTGATTGTATTATTAAAAACGGCTTTAAAAAAAAAGAAAATATTATGTTGTAGACAAAGTTTAGAGACACAATTATAAATGTCTCCAATCTGGGAATATTATTAAAATTACTCAATGAATAGAGAAAAGTTAATTTAGAAAAATTTGTCAAAGATTAGTATTTAATAATTACTGATTTTTGCAAATAAAACTTAAATAAATGAATTAATCTTAGGTCATGAAAGCTATCAGGTTGTGACGATTTTTGAAACAGTTTTCTTTGGGTCGAAGGTCTTGATTGAATTGAACCTCACCGATCTTTGTGCACAAGTCCAAAGTGAATGCTGCAATGCAGCTTTGATAGCACCCTTGAGCTCTTTGAAATAAAGATAGATTTTTTTCTTTTATTTTTTTTTTGCTTTTGAGAATCCATTCCATTTGCAAACTTATAGATACACAATAGTGATTATATTTTAATGAATAGTCATTTTCAGAATTGATTGGTCTGCTTTGAAATCGACGAAAAAGGAGGGGATTTTTTTTTTATAAACAAACGAGACGAGACGGTCTCTCGTCTTTTAAAAGATCTACGTCTATCAACTCGACCAAGATGAGTCAAGTCAAAGTCATGGAGCAGGAAACTGTCCTCAAGAAGCGTCAAACATTCGTGCGACGTGTTTCTGATTTGTTCAAAGGTAAATTGTAAAATTATTTTTATTATTTATTATATAATATATAATTTAATAATTCAAAGAAATCGTTTTATGTTCATTTAAATACTTTTCACTTATTTTTTATAAAGAAGAAATATATTTTTTTTCTCGATGCAAATAAAAGAAATATCAAAAATGTTTAGCTACAAATTTTTAATTAAAATTTAAATTATTTTGCTTTAAATTATATTATATAAAGATAAATTATTTTTTTACTCCAATTGAACTAAAGAAATCAAATAAAATTAAAAATATATTTTTGTTAAACTCACCCAAAAATAAAAAAAAGCGATTACTACTCCTTGTTTGTTCTGCATTGATCGCGTTGCTTACACAATTGGCACCACAGTTAATTTAATAATCAACTATTTTTTTTTTCTATTTAAAAAATATCCACGTAATTAGAATCACAAATAATAGTTTCTTGTCGCTCCGTCTGCAAAAAATAAAAAAAAAACAAATGAAAAATAGATATAATTTTTTTAAAAATACTAATAAAAAATAGAAATTATATATAAAAATTGAAACATAAATTAAAACTAAATAATAAAATTTGTTTTTATTTTCTTTTTAGATGGAACTTATAGTGGACCACCTTTGTTATTTAATCACACTTCAATGCAAAAACTTCGTCATTGTTGCCAGAATTTAAATCTCTTTCCTTATTTACTCTATTCATTTGAGAATTCAAAATCTCATCCATTTGCAAAAAAAGTAAATGTTCGTCTTGAACAATATTTGAAAAGAATAGTGGAAAATTTATTTCTCATCTACACAAGTATTCGACATCTTGTTTTAAGGGAAATTCGTTCAGAGAAAAAAATAATTCGAAATGAGAAGAAAATTGACAATTTATCAAAATCAAGGATATTCCTTTCAATTAAACAAAAACCAAAAGAAATTTCCTATCTTCTAATAATGGCCATTTACTTAGTACCTTTAATATTAATTTTTCAACTAATCGCTATTGGTAATCTTTTGATAGTGGAAAAACATACACCAGGATTTATTTTCCTCGTCACCGCTTTATTTTGTCTTGGATTCATCTCACTTAAAGTGATGTTTTATGACAAAACTGCCAGGAAAACGTTCAAAAATGAAAAAAGGAAAAAAGAATAATTTTATTTTTAGTTATCATTTATTTAAAAAATACATCATTTTCACTATCCTTTGATAGAAACCATCATTTCATTTCTATTCTTTTTTTTTATTCAAAATTAAAAAAAAAACTCAATGTGGTTTTATTGCTGTGATAGAAGATTTATTTTGTGTAAAGTAGATTTTAAGCATTATTGGTTGAGTTATTTAATTTTTTTCTAAAATTTAAAAAAATGTTCTTTTTTAATTATCCCTTTGTATATTAAATATTAATATGTCCTACCCTAATATTTAAATGTTTAATTTAATATTTGAGTCTCAACCTTTTATTAATTGTATAAAATAAAAAATTGTATTTGTTAAGTTCCCTTGAAATTGTTTATAAAGTACTCAATCAGCTTCCAAAAGCATTTGCTGAATCAATTCAAAACTTTTGAAAATTTTGAATTTGAAAAATAATTATTATTCTGCGATTGGAACTTTTGCACATTTTGGAATTGTGACTGATAAATATCGAAGGATAATAATGAATATATGTATAAATATCCTCTCGGCATTGTAAGACTGAAAATTGTTTTTAAAAAAACTTGTATGTAAATAATTAAGTGAAAAAATATATCATTGATTTTCTCCTTCTAATATACAATATTTATACTGTTACAATTTTTTTTTTTTTTTTTTTTTTTTAAACTTTATAATACATAAAAACAAATGTATTATATATGAAAAATTTGTGTCACGGACAACACAAACTTCTCAGCGCTAAAAATTTCTATTTATATTCGTTGAATTTTAAGAATAATTTATATAGAAAATAATTTTAAGGCTGATTATCATAACAATTGATATAATAAATATATTATTGTATAATTTAAAGTTTTGAATGGAATTATTTGTTGTAAAATTGTTATTTGCGTAAGGTCCAATTTTTAATGCATATCCAATTACGTGAGCCACAAAATTTTGTTCATGAGTAGAATGAAAAAGATGTGCTTGAGGTCCTGAAAAAAAAAATAATATTTTAGTTGCAAATTCAAAAAAAAAGGTGAATTTTAATAACATTTTCGAAAATTATACGAAATTTTTGCAAAAAAAAAACTGCAAAATGTCCAATGAAATGTAATTTTGATAAAAAAAAACAATGTCCACTTGATATGATTAATAAAAAAAACAATAATAAACGTGTACGATAAAGCTTAAAATATTAAAAAATTAATTTTAAAAGCTTACAATTGTCTATTATAATTATTACTTACCTTTTGCATAGACTGCAACATCAGCACCTCCATGTTGAGCTTCATCGGTAATTATTGCAGCTTGTTGACTATAATTATAATCAGTTGTATCATTAAGCGATGGATTAATTCGAACAATTTTTCCATTTTCAATAGTGTATCCCATATTATTTGGACCACCGGTGCTATATGTTAAGGTAGTAAAATTTCTGTTATCGTATTTCGATTTTTGAGCTATACCTGAAAATTAAATAAAAAAAAAATAAAAAAATAAGTAAAACATTTCAAAAATTTTACGAAACAATTTAAATTTATACCAAGAATAGATGATCCCCGATCACTATAACCACTAAATGACATTGAATGTGTATGATCGCTGGTGACAATAACTAAAGTTTCCTCGATATTAATTAATTTTAATGTTGCATCAATGGCTTCTGATAAGCGAACAGTTTCTTGTAAAGCTTGAGCTGCATGTCCTCTATGATGGGCAAAATCAATAAGACCACCTTCTACCTAAAATAAAACGCAATATACGATTTCTTGTTTATTGTCCCTTCTCTAAAAAAAATAATAATACAAAATTCTACCACAAGAAGAAATCCTTTATCTGCTTTCTTTAATACTTTTATCGCAGCTATTGTCATTTCTTCCAAACTTGGCTGACCCTTTGGACCTTTATCACGTTTCCAATCCATAGGAATGTGTCCATTTGCAAAAATTCCCAATAAAAATTCTGTATTTTCATAATCAACTTGAGAAAGTTGTTCATTATTTTCAACAACTTTAAAATTAAAATTTCTCGATTTTTTATCTTTTTTCCATTTTTCAATTAAATCACGTCCATCTTTACTATAACATGCCCATTTATCTATTGGATCGGTAATTGTTCCATTTACAAATGATTGTAACATTTGTCTTCCACCACCCATAATTACCTATAATATGAAATTTTTAAATAATTTTTCAAAATTTTTCAAAATTTTTCAAAATTTTTCAAAATTTTTTTTTTTTATATCAGTTTGCAAACCTTGATATTTTTGCCAGGTTCATTTTCAATCAATTGCATTGCAATGTCTTGACATTTTTCTGCATTTGGAGGTTTTTTTGCCTCGCATTCCCAATTTCTGTCTGCACAATGTGCATATAATGGAGCTGGTGTTGCATGAGTTACACGAGTAGTAGTAACAAATCCTGAAAATAAAATTTTCTTTCAATTTCTTCGCAAGTTTAAATGGTAATTTAATTACCTCTTTGAGTATATATATATAATGACCAAAATTTTCTACTAATTGATGGAATTATTACAGCTATATAATGAGATTTCGAACAATTGTAAATAAAACCATAAAGATTATTTTTAAATAAGTATTGGACGTCTATGGGAAAAATTATGACTTATTTATGTCTTGTAATTTTTATTTTGTCTATCATTCCTCAGGCTTTCGTGCAGAAGGCGGAGTACCAGTTCTTTTTTTTTGCCATATTCTATAGAATCAAAAATAAACTGAGATATTTCAAGAAACGTGTTCTTTAAAGAGAATAATTATTAAATTCTAAACGATTTTTAAAAGAATATTCTTGTGAAATAATATATATATCTATAAAAATGAAATATTCGAAAAATATTAGTGATATTTAAATAATATAAATTTTTGTATTTTTACCTGTATATTTACCGACTTCTTGAGCCCAAGAGATAATTGACTTCAAATGAAATTCAGTATTCAAACTTGCTTCACAATCAGCAAGTGGTACATTAACATCAACTCCAACGACCTTAAAGTTCGTCTTGACTCCACTGAAAAGTGCTGTCGCTGTTGATGCAGAATCAGGTACTTGTTTATTTGTATTATAGGTCTATTTAACAAAAAAAAAAAATTATAATTATTAAAACAGATCAATAAATTAATAAACAATAGATTTAAAAATTTTTTACCTTAAGCAGTCCAATATGTGGGAATTTTTCCCATGAAAGATAACTTGTTTCATTAGAATTAAAAATTCTGCTTGCTGTTATTGTATTTCCACTCATACCATCTCCAATAAATATTATTACATTTTTGGCATTATTTGTATTCCATTTGTAAGCTAATGAATCATGAAGTTCTTGTTCAGCGAGACGATGCCAATGTTTAGCATCTGTATATTTAAAAAAAAAAAAAAATTCCCAATTTTAACAAAAAGCATTTTTATATTTATCAATATTTAAAATTTTTTTTTAAAAATTAATTAAAAACTTTATATTTTGTAATGAAAAAATGTTTATCACATACCTTCTTTGGTCTTGACAATAGAAATAGAAAGAAGAATGATAAGAATTTTTATACACAAATTATTTCTTTCACTGATAATTATGTTCATTTTTACTTTTCTAGTCACGTGACACGAACGTTAACTAATCACTCTGATTAAACAGTACAGTATTAATCGAGGGAGATATAGTTGACTATTTTCAAAAAAAAAATTAAAATTTTTGAAAAATATAAAAAAAAGACTATATTTTAATTTTCTTACGTTTATTTTGGAAATAATTTTAATTATTAAAATTATTAAATTAATATTGTGTAGCTATCGTCACGATTGACAAACGCGTTGTGAGGTCTTTTTTTTTCCCTTCGAAAAAATTTCACTTCCTTTACAGAAAGAAATAAGCCTTAAAGAAAGGGAAGTGGTCTGTTTCACACATGTTTTTACGCCAGGATATTTTGTGATAAGCTTTTGTACTAAAAATAGTCTTTAAATAAAGATAATTCTAATTCCTAAAAAAAACTGTATTATGTCAATAAGAATACAGAATACAGAAAGTGCATTTTTAAAAAAAATCACAGTAATTCTAAAACGCATTAAAAAATTAACATTTTTTATCAAAGGTGTGTGAAAATAGTTTAAATTTTATTTGGGGGGAAAAAAAAATTTGAATCCATATTTTTAATTATAAATTCATTTCACACACCTTTAATTATATTATTTAAAAACTTTTCATCTTTGAAAAATGATGTAGATTTATCTGAATTTAAAAAAAAAACTACAAATTCGCAATGCAAAAATATTTAGCAACCTGTTGCTTTTTTAAAACGAGCATTAATATCGGACCAATTTGCAATATCGAAAATAGCTTTCACATAATCGGGTCGAACATTTTTATATTGCAAATAATAAGCGTGTTCCCATACATCAATTCCAAATAATGGAATAAGACCAGTTGTCGCTTGAAGTGGATCTTGATTAGCGCAAATTGTAATTTGAAGTCTTTTTTCCTTTTGATTATAACCCAACCAACCCCAGCCTGATCCTTGTATTCCCACAGTTGCTTCAGATAACCGCTTCTTCATTTCGTCAAAACTGTTGAAATCTTTATCAATTTGTTGACAGAGAGCGGCTATAAAAATTATTTTAATTCAAAAATTATGTGCATCATTATTTATTTCCCGGATAAAAAATTGGAAATTGATAAAATAATTATCATCGGAATATTTTATCTTCTCTTTCAAAAAAAATCATAACAAAATATGATTATATTTGTAAAATAAAATTCTTTTTCTAAATATTTCAAAAAAAAAAATCTCTACCTATCCAAATAAATTTGGTAAATTTTACATTTTTCACATAAATTAAAGCAATAAATTTATATAAAAATATAAATAGAATTTATTTAATAATGAAAATTATTTTACCATCAGGTTTTCCACTATTTGGAGATAAATTATTCCAAAATATGGAATGATTCAAATGACCGCCACCGTTGAATTTTATTGCAGGAGCTAATGCAATTTGTGTATTAACATCGCCCTTTGCAACAGCTTCTTTCAATTTTTCCTCAGCAATATTCAAATTATTAACATATGTTGCGTGATGTTTTGAATGATGAAGTTGCATTATTTCAGCACATATTATTGGTTCAAGTGCCTTGTAATCATAGGGCAAATCAGGTAAAGTGTGTTTAGATTTTGTCACAATTTCCTTGTTACGACTGTAAAATAATAAAATTTTAATTTAAAATTAACAATGTTATTAATTATTTCATAATAAAGTTAACTAATAATTAATAATTAAATATTATTTAATTAAAATGATTTACAAATATTAAAGAATTGTGTGATATAAAAAATATAAAACTAAAATGATATTGGAGGTTAGGAATTATATAATATTATCCTAACTTAACTGATTTAATGATTAGTTTATAAAAATAGATATTTACATTAAATTGGAAACCAATGTTCTTCTTACGGCAAACATATTTTGCAAATTTTAATTTCAAAACCTTTTTTTTATTAATAAAAAACGAACTTTTTACAACCGGTGAAATAGCGGGAATGGACGGAAGCTTTTGATGCCCGGTGCCGCCCTCTTTACACGATCGATAACTTTAAAATTATATCGCACAACTCGAATAATTTTGCAATCGAAAATTTGAATTTGAACAATAAATGTTTATAGAGGGTGTTTTAATGAACTGAATCAATTTTTACATGTAAGTATATGATTCTCAAGGGGAAATTATTTTGTTTTTAAAATACCCCTGTGTATAGACTATTTTTATACACTCCAACATTCTTGATAGCATTTTATCAGGTGTTAGAAAAATATTTGTTTTTAGACACGTGGAAAAAATATGTACTGTAATACTAAAATTAAAAAAAATGGTCAATCCTTTAAATTATAATATTGGAACTACAAAAAAAAAAAAAAAAAAAAAAATTAATAAAGTGTACGTATAAATAATTCAACACTAAATACATTGAAAGAGAATGAATTGACAAAAAAATTTTCTCAATGTATCTAATGTTAAGAGGTCAGCAGACGTTTTTGATGTTTTTCTTATAGATAAATCTTTGCAGGGGATAGAAAATGCAATAAAATGTGCATTACATTAGTACAAAACAATTAAATTATTTTTTTCTTTTTTTTTAAATTTATTTATTATTTATTATTTTTTTTTTTTTTTTAATATTTATGAAAATTACTCCAAATTCTTTTTGAATGAAATTTTCATTTTTAAATAAAAAATTTTTCTATATAATGTAAAAAGAATTTTATTTTAAAGAATAATAGAAAAAATTTATTTCTTTAAATCAAATAGTTCTTTAAATAATTTAATGTTAATTTAATGATATAAAAAAAAATGAATGACAATATTTAATAAATAATAAAATAAGGATTATATGATATTTTTTAAAGTTCCATTTCCTAAATGTATGTGTTCATATGTACATATATGAAAAAAAATAAGTATAAGTATAGTATAGTATAATGAATAAGTGCCTGGTGGGGATTGCCTCGCTGACAAGAATTTATTTAGAACCAGTTTATGTGTTTGGTTGATTCTGATGTTAGTTTCAGTTTTACTTTCGAGTACTTGTCACGTGAAAAGAAGTAAGTTAAAAAATTATTCTATCAATTTATTTAAAAAAAAAAAAAAAAAAAAAAAATCGCATGAAAAATATTATATAATTCTTTAAAACAAAAAAATTACGACAATAAAGAATACAAAAAATAAATTCAACAATAATTATAATGAATTTATGAATACTTTGTTTTTTATATTTACATTTTTTGATATCTTTATTTATTTACATCTTGTGTAAATAATTTTATGGTTTAATTTTCTATTTATGTATAATTTATTCCTCTTTGTCTAACATAAGGATTTTTATCTTTTTTTTTTTTTCCTCATGTTCTATACGCTTCGACATATTTAAGTATATTATATTGTAGTGAAATAATTTCTAAGGAGTAGAAATTTGATATATTTAAAAATATTTCAGTCTCGTTTAAACTATATCATGTCTTCGAATTCTACCAAAGTCATTAATTTTGGTGCAGGTCCAGGAAAACTTCCCGAAGAGGTATTATTTAATTTTTGTTTTTCAAATTATAATTATTTTCAATGAGTTATAAAAAAAAATTTCTCTACCTTTTTAATTGAATTTTTTTGAATTTATAAAAAATTGATTCTATATATATTGATAAGAATCTGATTATCTCACATGATTTTGATAAAAATTCCAATCGTTCATAAAAAAATTTATGTTAGGTACATATTTTTTTTTAAAGAAAATTTTTTATTACATTCATTGATTCTTTTTTCATTTTGTTATTATTTCATTTATAAAAATCAACTAATTTATGTTAAAATATTTAAAATTATAATTTTAAGTGAACTAATTAATTAATTAAACTTTTTATTTTAATATAATTCAAAAATTTTAAGAATGATTTTAATTGGAAATTAAAAATTTGATGTTAATTTGTTTAGACATGCAATGACAGTAAAAAAAAAAAAAACAATTGGAAGCAAATATAAAAATTATATCTGTTATTGTTGCAATTTACATATATAATTATCAAAGTTGATAATTTTTTATTGCAAAATATTTGTCTTAAATCACTAATGAATTATTTTAAAGCAAATATTTTTGAATTGAATTTTATTTTCAATTTCAAATTATTGACGAAAAAAAAAAAGAAACAAAATTGAAATAATTTTTTTTAAAAACGTTCCCCTGGATTTGTTTTATAATTTTTTTTTCAACAGATACAATTTTGTATATAAAATTAATTTTTTCAATATTCTTTAAATTTTTACTGAAATTTTCATTTCAAGGTCATAGAAGAAGTTCAAAAAGGATTTCACTCGTTTGGTGATACAAACATTAGTATTGTGGAACTCAGTCATCGTTCAAGTGATTTTAATAAAATTATTAACGATGCTCAGGCAACATTACGAGAAATACTGTAAGATTAACAAAAATAGAATTATTATAATTTCGATTTTACTCTTTTTTTGGAATTTTCAACTATATTATTTTTAAAAAAAATTTTTTGTTTTTAGTAACATTCCAGCGAATTATAAAATTTTATTCATGCAAGGTGGAGGTACAGGAATCTTTGCAGCAATTCCTCTCAATATGATGAAAACTGGAACTGCTGATTATTTTGTAACAGGTAAGAAGTTCTTTTAGATTTTACAAAAATCTAAAGAAAAAAAAAATCATTTTAAATAAAAATAATTTTTTTTTTTTCTTCTAAACATATAAAGGTTCTTGGTCATCAAAGGCTGCAAAGGAAGCAGCAAAATATGGAAAAGTAAATTTGGTTTTACCAAAAACTAGCACTTATACAGAAATTCCAAATTCCTCAACATGGAATTTGGATCCAAATGCTTCTTATGTTTATTATTGTGACAATGAAACAATTCATGGTTAGTAAATTTCTTTTACTCTTCTATTTTTAATTTTTAAATTCAAAATTCAATTTTAAATATAAGAAATATTTTCAATGTAGGTATCGAATTTAACTTTATCCCTGACACGAAAGGCGTTCCTTTAGTGGCCGATATGTCATCAAATATTTTAACCAAACCAATTGACATTTCTAAGGTAAATTTTAAAGAAATTGAATTTTATTTTTCTATATTAAATAAAAATCTAAGTGGAATTTTTTTTTTTAGTTTGCAGTGATTTATGCTGGAGCACAAAAAAATATCGGTCCAGCAGGTGTAACTTTAGTTATTTTAAGAGAGGATGTTATAGGCCACGCAATGTCTGTTTGTCCAACAATATTAGATTTTGCAGTGATTGCCGAAAATAATTCTATTTACAATACACCTCCAACTTTTCAGTATGTTGATAAAAAAAAATAATCAAATTTTCTTTAACATTAAATGAAAAAAAATGTATATTAATATAATTAAATTTTTAGAATTTACTTTGTTGGTAAAGTTTTTAAATGGATTCAAAAAAATGGAGGTGTAAAGGGAATGGAAAAAAAAGCAGAGGAAAAAAGCAAGAAAATTTATGATATTATTGATAATTCTCAAGGATTTTATGTTTGTCCTGTTAAAAAAGACTGTCGAAGCAGAATGAATGTACCGTTTAGAATAAAAAATAATGATGAACTCGAAAAAGAATTTTTAACTGGTGCAAGTGAACGTGGCATGTTACAATTGAAAGGACACAGGTTTGTTTTTTTAAATTCTTTCATTTTATCATTATTTTAATAAATTTTCTTGAAATCGATTTCTTTTTTTTTAGATCGGTGGGTGGAATTCGTGCTTCACTTTATAATGCAGTGACAGTTGAGGAAGTCGAAATTTTGGCATCGTACATGAAATTGTTTCAGCAATCAAAGCAATAAATTTATTTTTGTAAAAACCACTTTAAGTGCAATTTAAAAAAAAAATTTTTTAATTTAGATACAAAATATTGAATTATTTTTTTTTAAACAATTTTAAAAACATCAATTTTTTTTTATGTGCCATTCCAGGAGTTTTTTAGCACTTTTCGGAGTAACCTTTCCAAATTAAATGAAACATTTTTTTAATAATATTTATTAATATAAAGGTCCAAAAAAATCACTTTTTAAGTAAAAACAATTGTTTATTTAAAAAATACAACAATAAATAATGCAAAAAATTCACTTTTTTCCTGCAACTCCAAATAAATTGGTTTAAAGATCAAAATTTTCCTTATTTTTCAAGCTTTCATACCGCACAAGAAACATAGAGTCCGAGAAAATATTCAACTCACAATTTTTTAAACAATGTTTGTTTACTTTTTTGTATTTTATTTACTGTGAAACGTCTGCTAAAGCTGCGCGCGACGTTTGGAAGCTGTCGCTTTCCTTATTGAGCAGAAGCTAATTACACTAGCGTAGTAAAAAACATGTTGTGTGAAAAGTGAGGTTTTTCATCCTTCAAAAATGTTTTTTATGATTTTTTACTGCAAAGTAGATAATTAAAAACCATTCAATGTGATAACCAGAAATTTTTACGCTTCGTTTAATGACAACATAACCTCACTTTTCGCACAACTTGCTTTCTACTACGCTAGTGTAATGAGCTTCTGCTCAATAAAAAAAGCGACAACTTCCAAACGTCGCGCGCAGCTTTAGCAGACGTTTCACAGTAAATAAAATACAAAAAAGTAAACAAACATTGTTTAAAAAATTGTGAGTTGAATATTTTCTCGGACTCTATGTTTCTTGTGCGGTATGAAAGCTTGAAAAATAAGGAAAATTTTGATCTTTAAACCAATTTATTTGGAGTTGCAGGAAAAAAGTGAATTTTTTGCATTATTTATTGTTGTATTTTTTAAATAAACAATTGTTTTTACTTAAAAAGTGATTTTTTTGGACCTTTATATTAATAAATATTATTAAAAAAATGTTTCATTTAATTTGGAAAGGTTACTCCGAAAAGTGCTAAAAAACTCCTGGAATGGCACTTATGTAAATGTAAAATTTTAGATTTATGAAAATTCTTTTTACTTTATTTTGTATGGAGCTTTATATAATAAAAAAAAAAATATATCAAATGTTTTAAAAAATCATTTCTTTCTTTTTTTTTTATAGAAACTTAAGGTTATATAAATTTTTATTTTTTGTGTAAAATATTTTAATTTAATACCTCTGCAAAAATATCATCCAATAAATTTTCTAAATTCTCATTTGTTCCACGACATCCATTTATCACTTCTTTTGCCCACTGAAATGAAAATGAATAATTAATTAATAAATTAGATTTAAAATAAAAATTTCATTAAAATAATAATAAAAAAATATATATATATAAGTAAAAGTGCCTTAAAATATTCTTTGACACGTTCTGATGTCCAACCAATTGGAGTTTCTTTTTTTAAATCTCGCAAATTGTATAATTTATCAGCTAATTTAACTAATTTTGCCTGATGACTATTGTTAGGTGCATTTTTAATTTGCAATAATTTTCTCTCTTGTTTGGATAAATTTTTATCATCTGTCACTTCAGCCACAATTTGACGTACATATTTGCCAAATTCTTGTTCTATTTCATCAAAAGTCGTATCTGTATCTTCAACAGTGTCATGCAATAATGCTGCAAGAATCACAACTGGATCATAGATATTTCCTTCCTCAATTAAAATATTTGCCACTCCTACATATAGAATTAAATTTCCAATTTTTATTTTACAAAATAAAATTTCTAGACATGTATTATTTACCAATAGGATGATTTATGTATGGAGTTGCATCAGTATTTTTTCTTCTTTGTTTTGTATGTTTAAGAGCTGCAAAATTAGTACATCTTATAACCATTGATATTATTTCTTCTTTTGTAAGTTCATTTATATATGATTTACAATTTAAAGGCTCAGTTACTTTATTATTTATACAATCCATAGTTATTAACTTTTCTATAAAATTAATTTGTAATAAATAAAAAATTTGTAAAAAATTATTTTGTAGGCTATGTTTTTTGTTTTTGTCAAATGAAAATTTTTTTTCATGTTGGTAGTAATAACAGTATTATTGAAAACTTACATAAAATATTTGTAGCATTTAGTATTTACCAAAATATGTTTCCAAAAACCCCCACCAATGTAGAGCGCTACGATCGTAAAGTGTAAAACTGTATTCGATATTCGATATATCGATAACGTCGATAATTTCACTGCGCGAGATAGCCAATGAGAAGCGAGGGAATTTTACATTGACGCAAAAGGGGCATTTCCCGGTCTCAGTATTTCTTCGAATCTCGGAAGGGTAAATAGTATTCAAGTCTTGATTAATATTAAATCGATTATTCATTCCCGAGTTTTCAGTATTTTTGTTACTTTTTGTAAAAAATTTTAACACTTGTCGATAATCTCGCGAAAATCGTAGTTTTATGCCTACTTACAGACATTGAAGAAAGTAGGGATAGAATCAAGATGGCTGCCATGTCATTGTTGTCAATGGGACAAAATAGTGCTGTGTCTGATCCTATAAAATTTGACTACTTGATTAACTGTGTATTGGTTCAACATTATAAATAACGGTTTTACTTTAATATTTCTGAAGAATTAATCGTCTGTATTAAAAATATATATAATTTTCTTTGAATTGAATCGTTCATTTTTTCGCGCAGTACGTGTGTATAGAAACAGTTCTCATCGTGTGTGCTCAATTTTTTTCGATAAAAAAATTTGTTATCTCGTAATTTAAAGTATGTACCCACACAGCACCGAAACTTTCCTTAAAGTTGACAGCGCCTCGCACGGCGAGATTCGGAAACTTGAGTGGCAAAGCCCATACAAGTTTGTGTCGATGTTTAAATGTCCGCACATAAACAGGGTTTGGCGCAAAACTTGATTGAATATTGCATTGCAAGTTTCATGAAATAATGGACCTAAAGATTTTTACCATATTGTGCAGAAATGTTTGAGAAAATTGAAAAAGCAAAATTTGTTAAATATTATCATTAAATATTTTGGAAACTTAAAGAAAGCATAAATGCGGAAAATTAAAATGAAAAAATATAAATTACAAAAATTACTTAAAATTACACATAATCAAATACAGGAAGGCGTAAAAATAGATATTTCTAAGCGTTTGTAGTTTTATGTATATTTACTTGTTATTTATTATTCATGTGGAATTATTACATAAATTAATTTATAAATTACAGAATTTAAAATTCTTTTTAGTAACTATTTTTATTATCCTGAGTATATAATAAATAATAATTCTGTTAAATAAATATTTTAATTAACATAAATTTTGTCTATAATGTTCGGTGAAACGAAAACTGTAACAATCTGAAGATTTATTTGAAATAAATTACCTTAAATGGAATTTTAGGTTAATAAAATTATTGTTAAAAAGATCTACCAGAATTTCTACAAAAATTTGTTACATAACAATTCCGTTTTATAAAATTTGTATAAAACTTTCATCTAAAAATATCCGTAAAATAATGACTAAATTTCATTATTAAAAATACCTTAAATTTTAAATAATACACTTTTCAAAAAATGTTTTTATTAAATTGTAACACTGACTTTATTCTCTTAGAATTCATGAAAAAGAAAGCCAGTATTCCTCGTTTATAATCAGGGTGGAGTCGACGGTCGCAAAAGATGAGCAGATGAATTCTTAGAAACCAGTCATCAAAATTACCTTTGGAATACAATTCGGAATGGCTACCAAACCTTGAAAACTGAAAAAATAGAAAACCGACATTAATTAAGCGTCCTGAAAAAATTCTGAATTTTAAAAAATTTTTTTTAATCTTAAAATTTTTCCATCTTTTTTAAAAGATTAATAAATTAATTTTTTAAATACTTTTTTCATCCCTCCTTTATCAGTTTCTCGTCACTCGACAATACATTGAAAAACAAATTCTATTATTTTTTTCTTATTCTATTATTATTATTTGTCGAAAAACTGAATAAAAAACTAATTTCCAGAAATCAGGCTCCACAAATTTTTAAGAGAAAGAAACGTATAATTTAGTTAAAAATATGTATGACTAAATTTAAAAGCTGAAAATTTTTTCAATTTAAATTTAAATGAAATTAATTTATATTCAATTATTGACGTCAATCACTATTTTAGCATTACACTAAGAGAAACATTCTTCTATGAAATTACGTTTTCTCTACTTTTAAAAATTTGTTAATACTGATTTAATTTGGAGATTATTTTTATTCATTTTAGACAATAACTTTTAGTTCAAATCATCAAAATTGTATTTTTTGAGTCAAAACATAATTGTCTTCAATGTGGAAAAATAAATAGTTTTACCTTTTCTTAATTCGGTGTTGATATATTGTAAGCTCTCTTTAAGATTCCTTTCAATATTTTTTTTGAGAATTAACATAATAATATTCTCAGAGCCTTAAACACAATACATGGTTTTTAATAAGTTTTTATCGACTTACGAAAAAGTATTATGAAATATTCTCATTTTATATACCATTATAGATATCAACACGTTCTGCATAATAAATATATTTTCCTTAGTCGCCCTTAAGCAGCAATTACAGTTCGAATCGATTCAATTTAAATTGAATTCCAAAACCATTATTCAGAGTTTTCGTCTTCAAATTCAGGAAAATTGAAATTTTGTTCCGCCTCTTTTTCTTGCCTTTTTTCCTCTTTCTTTCTGCGTGCAGAAAAAATATTAAAATCACACCATAATATTTTGAATAAAGTCTTTGTCGCTTACTTTTATAAGAAATTGATACTTTCAGAAATGATTCTGTAAGATACCTAAGAATAAACATACATACTTGTCTCGTTTAATTGAATTGGAACACTGAACCAGCCAGTCTTCAATCCAGTAGTTAACGCTGCTTTGTGCTTCATTTTGATGTAGGTGTCTTGATGATTCTGAAAATGAGTAATAAAAATTATATTTAACTTGATTTTCAAAAAACATCATTCAAGGAAAGAGCGCTGAAATGAAATTGAGGATGCATTACTTACGTACTACTACACGGTGCAAAAGTGAACCACAAAAGCGAAGTTTTTTGCCCCCTCTTCCCTGAAAAGTAAATAATTTTCCCGCTTCCAGGGTCAAAATTTCATAATTTCTTAAATTTCCATCTAAAATTCCATTTCAATCTTTAATAATTTTAATATTGTTTATCAAAAATTCAATTATTTAAATTAATACTTAATTAATTAAAACGTTTTTTCATTAAAAATTATGCAAAAATTAAATTATTGCCTAACATTTTTTTAATAAAAAATACAGTAATTCTAATGAAGAAAAATTTAAAGTTCGAATCTTCTAAAATTTAATTGTTTTCTATAAAAATATATAATTTATATTGAATAAAATTAGAATTAATTACTTAGTGGGTTAAAATTTGGAATAATTGGATTATTCAATTGATTGTATTGTGGAATAAATGAATTTAAAGTGATTAAAATTTGGTAAATAATTGAGTTTTAAATTAAATGTCATGTGGAATAATATTGCTCTTTTAATTCTTTAGAATTTGTAATCATTTAATTTAAAATTGATAGTGGCTTGAAATTGAATTTTTATTAATTTTAATTTTGACAGATTGAAATTTAGACTTCAAAAATGTAAAAACAAATAAAAATTCACGAAACAGGTGAACAAGGGAGGAATTTAACAAAATAGATGAAATATGTGGCAAATTATTGAAAAAGATGAAAATAAATGAATAGGTGACAATCTATGACCCTCGCATTAGATTAACATTTTTTTAATTATTGACTTGTATCAATCCTAAAAACTTGAATAAAAATTAAAATACTTAGTAGTCGTGAGGTGAATTTTCAGATGTCAGACCGCAGTCAAGGCGACCAGTATGTATTGAATAAGATCTCTTTTGATTGTTGTGCTTGTTTCACTGATCTTTCCAATTGCTTGGTGCATTCGCCGGTCTATTGCAAAAGACAACAATTAAATAAGAAACATAAAAGCAATAATTAAAACCTAAGTACAATAAATTATTGTTAGCAAAAAATTAATTAATAATGGAGGAAAAATACCTGTTTATTTTAACTACTCCTGATGCTTGTTAAATACTCAACATCACTTTGAATAGTGCGCGTCATTAAATCACTGTCAAAAAGAATCCGGATAATTTTGAATATAATTCTTCAAATCCTGAAACAGTAAATAAATACATTAATATCGTAAGTAAACAATTCTTGTTCTTCCGTAATTTATATAATATACAATGAAAAAAAGTTATGTGCAATAATTGAGTACAATTTTTAAATTGCATTCAATTATTTCACGTCAAGTTCTTCGGATATTTCCTCACCCTCAGTGTTTTTGGTTGATTTTTTCAGTCTCTTCTCGAGTTTTAAAAAAAATCACTTTCCTGGACAAATAATGCCCGAAAATCGACGTATTTTTGACTAGCATTATGCAACTGTCTATAACGTTTAAAAAAGCGTTTCGTAACGTCAATCCATCTCAAATATAATACGTGAATCGGCTTCCAAAAACGACACAATCCAACAATTTTTTCAACAAGGTTTCAAACTCATGTCTCTTTTCGTCATCCATTAGATGTTTCTTAAAATCACTGTGCATCTGATTAAAAAAATGAAATTTTACTTGCGTTTTTTTAATTATTCAATGTAAGATGGATTCAATTTTTTAATCATTACAAATTACGTACCCCTTCGGCGAGTTCTTCTTTACAAGCGATGCTCGATACTATTTCTGACATCCAGTCCTTTCCGCTTGTCACTTTTGCATAAGTGTTTGTCATCAAATTAAATTCAAGTCCGAATTTTTAAATCTAAATTCTCGTACGAAAAAACAATAAATTTAAAATAAAGATTTTTTAAATAAATGAAAAGATAAATTTTTTCGAAAATACATGAATAGATATTTGAATGAATAAATGAATAGATCATTATTTAATTATTTACTATATATAAAAAAATGTTTAATTAATAGAAATGAATATTTAATTATAATTTAGATAAATTAAAATTTGT